ATTCTTTGTCTAAACACTAGAAGAAGGGAAGGAATGAAAGAAGGGGAAAGAAAGAGGGTGGGGTAGGGGAAGGAGGGACGATAACTCAAAGACCTTGGACTTAAAATTTCAAACATCCAACCTAAGATTTATACAGATACATACAATATTGAATATATAATTAAAGAAAGTTCAGAAAAGGAAAATGGGGTATTTTGGGCTGGAATTCAGAAGTTCTGATTTCTAAGATAAGAAAGTCTGCTTTTGGATACTACATTCTTTCGCTGAAACGTTGGAAGTGTCCTAAAATCCATTGAGCAATGCTGAGAAGTACCGTGTGTCAGGATAATTCTATTAAATGTCTTTCAAAAGCTATGCAACTAATGAAACTTGGCATTTGACAAACATCTGGAGGAAAAAAAAAAAAAAGCTGGCCCAACACCTTCAGGACTACATCACTATGCCAGCAAATAGAAATCATTTTCAAAGGTCCTCTAAGTCACATGCCATGGCACGCAGACACAAGAACATGACCCAGGCAGCTCATTTTTTCTGTAAGAGGCTGGATAGAAAATGTTCTAGGGTTTGCAGGCCAGATGGTTTCTGCCACTATTCAACTTTGTGGTTTTAGTGCAAAAGTGGCCATGGATAATACCTAATGAATATGACTGTATCCCAATAAAAGTTTATGCACACTGAAATTTTAATTTCACGTGTCATGAAACAGTATTAAGTATTTTTGCCATTTAAAAATGTAAAAACCATTCCACACAAAAACAAGCAATGGGTCAAATTTAAATCAGCCCACGGTCATAGACAACCCCTAATACAGACAATTAAATAAGGTAGCAATATTTAAACCATTTCACAAAATATCAACCATTAATAAAGAAAGCCAGAGTTGGGGGCAGGGAAGGAAGGAGCATGCTTCTTTTTTTTTTGAGACGGGAGTCTCGCTTTGTTGCCCAGGCTGGAGTGCAGTGGCAGAGGCTCACTGTAACCTCTGCCTTCCAGGTTCAAGAGATTCTCCTGCCTCAGCTTCCCAAGTAGCTGAGATTACAGGCATTCGCCACCATGGCCAGCTAATTTTTACTATTTTTCGTAGAGACAGGGTTTCACTCTATGTTGGTCAGGCTGGTCTCAAACTCCTAACCTCAAATGATCCTCCCGCCTCAGCCTCCCAAAGTGCTGGGATTACAGGTGAGAGCTACTGCGCCTGGCCTATACACATAAAGTTATTTGAAGACAGTATCTACTGAGATCATTAAAGAGGGAGGAAAAAAAGCTCTTAACAAGGAAATTAAGTTTCTGCCTCTACAGACAAAGAGCGATCAGCAAACACTCCGGGAAAAAACTCGCGAGTTCTAGGGAGCCGACCTACACCGTTCATGGAGTTCTTGATGTGGGAAACTAATTTTACATGACTTTAGACAAGAAGAAAGGAAGCAGCAATTTAACAACCAAGTCAGGGAAAGAATGGCAACACGATGATTATAATCAGAGCAGAAGGAACTGCAAGCTCCAAACAGGCTACAGACTCAGGGACAGGGTCATAAAATGGTGATCTCTGAAACTAAAGCTAATAAGTAAGTTATCATTACATAATAAAATCAGCTATATACAAAAGTTACAACCAAAAGAGACGGTTTGTAAGACTGCTGCCAATGAGAGAAGGCCTCCAAAATCTCATCAGACACTAAGAAAACAAATAATCTAGGATAAACTGAGCTTTAATGAATTACATCAATCTGTGGCAATGTCGTAACAGAAGGATGGTGGTCCACAAGGAAACTGGAGAAAGAAAAGCCAAAGATAAGAATCTGTCAGTGCTTCTCTAAAGGACAGGCAGGAGAAAGTGCACCCTGGCCTACTCTGTGGACCCACCTTGCCTAGAGGAAAGATGTGGACTTCCAGCTATTCTGCTGTGCCTCCTGTGTAGACTCTCCACTCATCTATTCACTTCTGAAATAAAATAGTTTTCCAGACTTTCCTGCTGAAAACAGACACTCTGGCCAGGCCACCCCAGTGTCTCTTCTGCTTTGCAGTTATATCTCTGCTTATAAATTAAGAAACTCGGGCAAGTGCAGTGGCTCACACCTATAATCCCAGCACTTTGGGAGGCCAAGGTGGGCAGATCACTCGAGACCAGCCTAGGCAACATGGCGAAACCCAATCTCTACAAAAACTACAAAAATTAGCCAGAAATGGTGATGTACTCCTGTAGTCCCAGCTACTTGGGAGGCTAAGGTTCCCACCTGGGAGAATCACCTGAGTCCTGGAGGTTGAGGCTTGCAGTAAGCTGAGATCATGCCACTGCACTGCAGTCTGGTTGACAGAGTGAGACCCTGCCTCAAAAATAACAAAAAAAAACAAAAAAAACCACCCTGGTATTTATAATATTATTAGGTCTCTAATGACTTTGGTTATGAATTGTCCACAAAAACCTCTTAATCATAACCATGGATGAACTGACGACAAAAAAAAAAAAATCACACAGTTCTCCTGTATACTTTCCGAAATTGCAAAGGACAAGGTAGTGGAAAATACCACAGAGGGATACATAACCATATGAGGCCACCTTATTCAGCCACCACTAACTGGTCTTAATCTCTTCTTACTGCCCTTAATTAAGGCAGAGGGTATCGTAGTTGAGAACACTGGGTTCTGGAGTCAGACTGCTTGGTTTGAACAAACTCCTTCTCCATCACTTCCTAATTAAGGTTTCTTAAACACTCTCAGCTCAGTTTCTTCATCCTGTTAAGCAGAGATGAAGGGGGTTATACCTCCAAGAGTCACTGGGAGGACTAAGAGACAATGCATTTGAAGAGCCTGATACAATGTCTGGCACCTAGAAAGCACTCAACAAATGCTGGCTCCTTTTTGTTATTACCATCATTGTTATTTTTATTATTAACTGGAAAAACTGATAAATCCTTTTGCTGAATATACTGACTCTAGCAATATTCCAGTGGTTGATCTTCATTCATAGCAGTTTAGTTTTCTTCTTTATCTGAAGCTCAAAAGAGTTTTTTTTTTTTTTTTTTTTTTTGAGACAGTGTTTCACTCTTGTTGCCCAGGCTGGAATGCAATGGCGTGATCTTAGCTCACCACAACCTCCGCCCCCCAGGTTCAAGCGATTCTCCTGCCTCAGCCTCCCAAGTAGCTGGGATTACAGGCATGATGCGCCACCACACCCGGCTACTTTTGTATTTTTAGCAGAGACAGAGTTTGTCCATGTTGGTCAGGCTGGTTTTGAACTCCCGACCTCAGGTGATCCACCCGCCTCAGCCTCCCAAAGTGCTGGGATTACAGGTGTGCGAAGAGCTTCTTAAGGCACTAAATTAATTCCAATGCAAGACCCCAACCATGTTTTTCACAAGCTTTTTTCAACCAAGGTGCAGAACTGCTCCTCCCTCAACAGCTGCTGTTTTGATCACACAAGCATACCTGTTCAATCTCATTTCCAACTTCCAACCAGCTTCAGTAATCACGTCAATCACCTCAAACTTTCTACCCCTCTTTCTCTCTCTACATTAGAAAATAAGGGTTCCCTGAAATTGTGGAAAGTTATCACCTACCAACTCCTGATATAAGAAGTAACATTTCCTTATATATAGTAGATATATGGATACACAGACAAAAAGCCATCAACAAAATATAAGTTGAAACCACAATGAGATGCCACTTTATACCCAGTAGAATGGTTATAATTTTTTTAAAAAAGAAGAAAATTAGTAAGTGTTGGCAAGGATGTGGAGAAACTAGAACCCTCATACACTGCTGGTAGGAATGTAAAATGGTACAGCCAATTTGGAAAACAGTCTGGCAATTCCTCAAAGGTTAAATACGGAGGTATCATATGATCCAACAAGTCCACTCCCAGGTATATAGCTAAGAGAATTAAAAACTTAGATCCACACAAAAACTTGTATGCAAATGTTCGTAACAGCATTATTCACAATTACCAAAAAATGAAAATAACCTAAATATCCATCAACTGATTAATTAATAAATAAAATGTGGGCTATCCATACAATGTAATATCATTTGGCAATAAAAAGAATGAAGTGCTGATACACACAACCGCACGGATGAACTTTGAAAAGATTACGCGGGGTGAAAGAAGCCAGTAGGAAAAGACCACATACTGCATGATTCCGTTTACATGAAATGTTCAGAATAGGCAAATCTATAGAGACAAAGGTCAATTAGTGCTTCCTAGGGACCAGAGAAGCTAGGAGGAAATGGGGAGTGACTGTTTATGGGTATGAGGTTTCTTTCTGGGATGATGAAAATGTTTATCAAATTGATAGCAGTGATGAATATACAACTCTGACTATACTAAAAACCAATGACTGTACACATTAAATAGTTGAATTGTCTGGCATATAAATATTCCCAAAAAGATATTATGTGATTAGGTAAATGTTTACCAAATGAACAGGGACAAATGACCAGGAGAGGAGTACTGAGTCCCCTGGGGCAGTAGAAAGCTTGGGAACAAAACTAGCCAATATACTCATGAAAACAGGCTTCAGTGTGTCCTCCATAGCCTGCAAATCTATTTTTAAAAGCCACTCAAACATCTGTTAGCTTTTCATGTGACTTCACAACTTTCATCATCCTAGTTATAAACCATTTAAACACAATACCTTACAAATGTACATTTCATTTTTTTGTAGTTTGGGTAACCCCTATATCATAACTTATACAACAGAAGCTACTACAGAGCTAATCATATCTATCAAATTTAATTCACTTATTTATCCAACAAACATTATATACCTACTGTGTGCCAGACAACGTCCTAGTGTGAAGTATGCAAAGATGGCTGAGATGTAAGCCCTGCTCTCAAGAAGCTCACACACAGCATGGTGAACTGAGAGTTATAATGTGAGACTTTGGAGAACACTCTGACTTGTGTTGCTGCAAATGAAATAAGGTCCTAATAAGTGTTATTTCAATGAAGATGATACGAAATAATTACAGGGCAGTGACCATCCTCCTGATGAGCAGCCTACCTGTTGACATGCTCCTCCCAGTCCTCTGGTGGAGGAGGGGCATCTGCATCAGTCCTGGCAAAGATGACATGCCGTTCACACTCATTCATCACGCTGCGTGCCTTCTGATTGTCATAGAGTGGCATAGGCGTTGACATGACCGTCTCCACATCTATTGGGACGTCTGATTCACTGTAAACAGGTGAGGAAATAGGACCGGGCCACACATACTTCACAGGTATTTAACAATCATCTGGTTGACAAAAAATGTATCTTTAATACAGTTAGCTTCAAATTACGTATAAGCACATTATATCCACAAGAAAATTTTGATCCAAAGTCATCTTTCCCACACTTGTCTAGATCTCTGCCTTCTCAGACACAATGGTATGTACTGGAAGAACACAAAGTCATTTTTTCAACGAGTCTATATAAAAAATGATAAACATCTATTTTTTTTTTAAAGATAAATATGGGCCAGGTGCAGTGGCTCACACCTGTAATACCACCACTTTGGGAAGCCGAGGCAGGTGGATTGCTTGAACTCAGGAGTTCAAGACCAGCCTGGGCAACATGAGGAAACCCTGTCTCTACCAAAAATACAAAAATTAGCTGGGCGTGTGGCACATGCCTGTGATCCCAACACTAAGAAGGCTAAGGTGGGAGGACTTTTGGCACCTGGAAAGTCAAGGCTGCAGTGAGCCATGATTGCATCACTGCACTCCAGCCTGGGTGACAGAGCAAGACCTGGTCTCAAAAATAAATAAATAAATAAATGACAAATACGGCCAGGCACAGCGATTCACACCTGTAATCCCAGCACTTTGGGAGGCTGAAGCAGGAGGATCACTTAAGCCCAGGAGTGAGCTGGTCTCAAAAAATAAATAAATAAATGACAAATATAGCTAGGCACAGTGATTCATACTTGTAATCCCAGCACTTTGGGAGGCTGAAGCAGGATTGCTTAAGCTCAAGAGTTCAAGACCAGTTTGGCAACATGGCAAAACCCTGTCTCTACAACACACACAAAAATTAGACAGGCATGGTGGTGTGTGCCTGCAGTCCCAGCTACTCAGGAAGCTGAGGTGGGAGGATGGCTTGCTTGAGCCCAGAAGGTTGAGGCTACAGTCAGCTGTGATCATGCCACTGTACTCCAGTCTGGGTCAGAGCAAGACCCAGTCTCAAAAAAAAAAAAAAAAGGAAAAAAAATTCCATAAGCAAGTTGATTTTACTCAAACTTATTTTTTTTTTTTTTTTTTGAGACGGAGTCTCGCTCTGTCACCCAGGCTAGAGTACAGTGGCGCAATCTCAGCTCACTGCAAGCTCCGCCTCCCAGGTTCATGCCATTCTCCTGCCTCGGCCTACCAAGTAGCTGGGACTACAGGCACCCGCCACCACGCCCAGCTAATTTTTTGTATTTTTTTTTTTTTTTTTTTTTTTTGAGATGGAGTCTCACTCTGTCCCCCTGGCTGGAGTGCAGTGGCCGGATCTCAGCTCACTGCAAGCTCTGCCTCCCGGATTCAGGCCATTCTCCTGCCTCAGCCTCCCGAGTAGCTGGGACTACAGGCGCCCACCACCTCGCCTGGCTAGTTTTTTTGTATTTTTTAGTAGAGACGGGGTTTCACTGTGTTAGCCAGGATGGTCTCAATCTCCTGACCTCGTGATCCGCCCGTCTCGGCCTCCCAAAGTGCTGGGATTACAGGCTTGAGACACCGCGCCCGGCCCAATTTTTTGTATTTTTAATAGAGACGAGGTTTCACCGCCTCTTGAGCCACCACGCCCGGCCTCAAACTAGTATTTTAAAAGATCACTTTCAATTTTTGTTTAGTAGGCTATAGCTCAGGAGTGGAATTTAGAAGACCAGCGAGGCAGCCACTGCAGTTGACTGAGATAGGCCAGAAATCATGATAGCTTGTTTAGGGACAAGAACAGTACAAATGGAGAAAAGTGGCTAACAAGTTGATTGCCTAGATACTGTCCAATACAGTAGTTATAAGCTACACATGACTACTTAAATTGAGGCGGACGGATCACGAGGTCAGATCGAGACCATCCTGGCTAACACAGTGAAACCCCAGCTCTACTAAAAATACAAAAAATTAGCCAGGTGTGGTGGTGGGCACCTGTAGTTCCAGCTACTCGGGACACTGAGGCAGGAGAATGGTGTGAACCCAGGAGGTGGAGCTTGCAGTGAGATTGCACCACTGCACTCCAGCCAGGGCAACAGAGTGAGACTCTGTCTCAAAAAAAAAAAAAAAAGAAATACTGGGCACAAGGGCTCAGGCTTGTAATCCCAGCACTCTAGGAGGCCAAGGTGGTCAGAACGCTGGAGCCCACAAATTCAACAGTGTGGGCAACATGGTGAAACCCTGTCTTCACTAAAAATACAGAAATTAGCTTGCGGTCCCAGCTACACGGGAGGCTGAGGTGGGAGGATCAACTGAGCCTGGGAGGCGGAGGTTGCAGTGAACCAAGATCACATCACTGCACTCACTCCAGTCTGGGTGACAGAGACCTCAGTCCAAAAAAAAAGAAAAAGAAAATTTAAATAGAATTAAATATTCAGGCTGGGCACAGTGGCTTGCGCCTGTAATCCCAACATTTTGGGAGGCCAAGGTGGGTGGGAGGCCAAGACCAGCTTGGCCAACATGGTAGAACCCCATCTCTACTAAAAATACAAAAATTAGCTGGGTGTAGTGGCACGTGCCTGTAGTCCCAGCTACTTGGGAGGCTGAGGCAGGAGAGTGGTGTAAACCCAGGAGGCAGAGGTTGCAGTGAGCCGAGATCACACCACTGCACTCCAGCCTGGGCAACACAGTGAGACTCCGTCTCCAAAAAAAAAAAGGCCGGGCACGGTGGCTCATGCCTGTAATCCCAGCACTCTGGGAGGCAGAGGTGTGCGGATTGCCTGGGCTCAGGACTTTGCAACCAGCCTGGGCAACATGGTGAAACCGCATCTCTACTAAACAACAAAAAATTAGCTGGGCGTGGCAGCAAGCACCTGTAGTCCCAGGTACTTGGGAGACTGTGGCAGGAGAACTGCTTGAACCCAGGGGGCGGAGGTTACAGTGAGCCAAGATCGCACCACTACACTGCAGCCTGGGTAACAGAGCAAAACTCCATCTCAAAAATATGAAAAAATAAAAAATTCAGTTCCACAGCGACATTAGCCACATTTCAAGTGTTCAACAGATACCTGTGGTGGCAGTTACCATACTGGATATCCCAGGTATAGAACATTCCTATTATTATAGAGAGTTCTGTTAAACAGTGCTGGTCTAGGGTTTTAAATTCATACAAATTTTCCCTTTCAATAGCAAGTCAACTGGTAGTTATTAATATATGCTGTAAAATCTATGATTTCCTTCTGTACGATTATCTAAGACAGATGACCTGGAATGCACATACCTTAGCTATTTAGCTCATTTTGTACAGAGCCTAGAACAGAAACAAATATAAATGAACATCTAAAGGTCTTTCATATTTTAAAATGAAACCCAGCCAGGCATGGTGGCTCATGCCTGTAATTCCAGCACTTTGGGAGGCCAAGGCAGGTGGATTGCTTACAGTCAGGAGTTCAAGACGAGCCTGACCAACACAGTGAAACTCCGTCTCTACTAAAAATACAAAAATTAGCCAGGCGTGGTGGCGGGTGCCTACAATCCCAGCTACCTGGGAGGCTGAGGCAGGAGAACTGCTTGAACTTGGGAGGCGGAGGTTGCAGTGAGCCAAGATTGTGCCATTGCACTCCAGCCTGGGCAACAGAGTGAGACTCTGACTCAAAAAAAAAAAAGAAAGAAAGAAAAAAAGAAATATTAGTGCCCCAAGGGTCCTTCCCACTTTATGATATATTGCACTTTGTCACCCCAAATACTATGCCAAACAAACTGGTCTAGAGGCTATCTGCCAAACTTTATGTTAACTTTTTGACCTCAGTGACCTTACCGCATCCATTTCCAATGACTGAAATAATTACATCATTATGAAACGAAATGAAATCACGTGCAGCTAGATTTGGTGGTGGGCAAAAGAGCTGATAATCTTCTCTAGGCCAGACATTGAGCTAAGTACTTGGATACGTGTACCTAAAAGAGCATTCTTGATTTCACCATCACAAACCTATCCTCCCCCAGTTTTCCCTAACTCATGGCACCACCCAATTGCTCAAGCCAGAAATCTGTCATCCTAATTTTACCTTTTCCTTTAACCCTGGTTCTTGCTCTTCTTTCCAATTCACTATAGCAGATCCTATTAACCTATTCACTCTATCTATGAAATACATCTCAAAGCCATCTGTATTTCTCCATTTGTACTGTTCCTGCCCGATACAAGATATCAAGATTTCTGGCCCATCTCAGTCCATTGCAATAGCAGCCTGCAGCTGGTCCTATAAGTTCTACTCCTGCACTACAACATACTCAACAAAAAATCCAAAATGATCTTTTTAAAGTATAAATTGAATCTCTAGCGTAAGATCCTTCAATGGCTTCTTAGTATCAAATTCCTTCACGAGGTAACCTCTGCCAACTTCTCCCTACCTCCCACTTATACCCCTACTGCTATTATATTCTGGCCACACTGGCCTAAAAGAGTTCTTAAAGCATGCCAAATTCTCACTTTCAGGGTCTGTATTTGGAGACAGAGATTATAAAAGGAAACAATAATCTGAGTACCAAAAGAACCAAGTCCACAGAATCTCACTTTAAGAAAATGTCATGAGATGTGGCCACAGGAGTTTTAATGTCAGCAAGAAGCTAATATGCAGCCAAAAAGGAAAAGACTTCAACTACTATTTAAAGGAGCTTTTCAGTTACGCCCTAGGCCAGAGGCATCAGGATTATGCTAAATTATTGCCTAAAGTTACAGATTTTATCTCCTGTACAACCAAAAAAAGGCAACAAAATTATAAAGTCATTGGGAAATGAAATTAAAAACACTATTCTGCACATGTTTTTTTTGTTTTTTTTTTTTTTGAGACGGAGTCTCGCTCTGTCCCCCAGGCTGGAGTGTTGTGGCCAGATCTCGGCTCACTGCAAGCTCCGCCTCCCGGGTTCCCGCCATTCTCCTGCCTCAGCCTCCTGAGTAGCTGGGACTACAGGCACCCGCCACCTCGCCCGGCTAGTTTTTTGTATTTTTTAGTAGAGACGGGGTTTCACCGGGTTAGCCAGGATGGTCTCGATCTCCTGACCTCGTGATCTGCCCGTCTCAGCCTCCCAAAGTGCTGGGATTACAGGCTTGAGCCACCGCGCCCGGCCTCTGCACATGTTTAAAACACACGTAGTGGGTCAGGCGCGGTGGCTCATGCCTGTAATCCCAGCACTTTGGGAGGCCGAGGCGGGTGGACTGCCTGAGGTCAGGAGTTCGAGACCAGCCTGGCTAACATGGTGGGTTAAACCCTGTCTCTACCAAAAATACAACAATTAGCCAGGCATGGTGGCACATGCCTGTAGTCCCAGCTACTCAGGAGGCTGAGGCAGGAGAATCGCTTGAACTCAGGAGGTGGAGGTTGCAGTGAGCCAAGATCACACCACTGCACTGCAGCCTGGGCAACAGAGCAAGACTCTGTCTCAAAAAAAAAAAAAAAAAAAAAAAAAACCACACACACACATCGTGGTATCTCTAACTCATCAGGTCATTAACGCTCAATTCTGGGAGGGGGGGACTCTAAAGAAGCCTCTACAAGAGCTCTAACCTCCCACAATATTGAAACCAGTGCTTAAGATTATTAGGTCAGACTAAAAACAAACAGAAAAAACTCTTCTCCAAAAGTCCTCCTTTGATCACTATAACAGAATATATCAACACATCTTGAAACATAATTAGAGTGCCTTAAAGTGCAAAAGAATTGTCAAACAGGTTTATTTAGACCAAATGTAACTGTATCACACATCAGGTAGTCAATTTATGAAACTTCCTTACCCTATAACATAGGCTGGGTGAAAATATCATTAGACATAAGAAGAGTTTAGATTAACCCATGGAGAGCAGCTCTGCAACAAGGGAAGAGAAAAAGCAATGTCTTGGGAACTGGCTTCTAACCTTCCTGTGTGAAGCCAAGAAAAGCAAAATGCATTACTATAAAAAGGCTATTGTTGCCACTATCAAGCAACCCAGAGCACTGGACTAATGTGATAAGGAGTCGTGTCCTGTGTGGTAATCTTTTAAAATCAACTTTTCAGTCTTTTTCTTCACCAGTTAAATAACCCTCTGCGATTTTCCCCTTTCCACACATCCTATTATCTAAGTGGAATAGGTTGTCTGCTTTTCATTTGCACGTCTTGCTTTCCTAATTCTTGTTAGCTGTCTCATAGAGACATCCACATTCAAGCCTGCTATCCTTATGCTGCTTAAGAGATGCCTGAATTTAACATCCAAATGCCCCATACAATCTCCCCCAGTCAGTCCTGAGAAAATCCTCTCAATTCCCATCTGATCACTGCCCAGTGACAGCAGTAGCAGCCCTTAGAAGCCCAAACTCACATGGTACTTTCGTGCTGCCGCCGGGGAGTGACAAAGAGCATGCGGGTGGGGCGGGCACTACTGGCATCTGGGTGGGCACTCCAAGGCTTGGCATAGCTATGATCCAGAAAAACCAGGTCCAGCTCCCGTTCGTGCACTGAAAGCTGGAAGAGCAGCGAGGTGCCCATGCGTCGAGCTGAAGTCTGGAAGTCCCTCTCCCCACCCCGGTGGGCCATGTCAGTGGAGGGGCAGAAAGTCAGAGCAAGGGTATCTGCATGCTAGTCACCTGCAGTGAGAAGTTTCAGTTTAGGTCAATTCCAATATTCTGAATTTCTCCCAATCTACACCATCTAACATGCTTACTTTTGTAACCTACTATCATTCCTGTTGAGTATCCGTTTCACAGCAGACCTCTGGTAGGGAGGGTTCGTGGAATCCCACACCAACACCAAAAAAAAAAGGGGGGCGGGAAACGAGGTGCCATGAGTTGTCCCATACTCAACCTCTAGCGAACTGAAATTCACTAAAGGGAGAGCTCACCGACCCCGAGGTTCAGAAAGACCTGGCGTGGACAGACACTACACCTGCGTGGCCAGCACAACTTCCTAGGTGGGCAGGAAGAGTTTCTGGCAAACGGGAAATCACAAACGTGAGTTCGTCGAAAGCTAAGGTTCTCTGTCGCTTCACTGCATCCTCTACGGGCGATGCCAACAGAGCCGGGTCCGCAGCAGGAGCGTGGGCACCGCTAAAGGGCAGGGCAACGCGGGCCTCAAAAAAGCGAATCCCAGCTAAGGCTCCATTTCCTTCAAGTCTCTCGTATCGCGTGAAACAAAAGTTCTGTCGGTACTTCGTCATATTCCAGAGTTTACATAAAAAGGAGAGCTCCCCCCACAAAGCCTGTGACAAAATGGTCCCCGTGGAAGCCCTTTCGCCCGCACCCCCGGCGAGGCGTCCCCAGCAAACCGCCCAGGACCCCGGCGGCCCCGCAGGCGTTCCCGCCACTGAGCCTCCATCGAGGAGACAGGGCCATGACTCGCATTTTACAGAGGAGGTCGCCAGCTCGGGGAACTGAAGCGACGTGGCCAAGGTCATGCAGAGTTCGCGACGAGGAGGAGCCTCCTGGCCCCCGCCCGCCGCCCGCCGCCTCCCGCTCCCTGGGGCACGGCTCGGCGTCCGCGTCACCGAGGCCCAGACGCGGCCCCCGCCCGCCCCCGGCCCAACCCGCCCGACCAGCCCCGGCAGCCGGCCCTAGCCCGGGCCCCCGCACGCCCCGGGAGCCCTGAAGCCCTCGCCGAGACCCCCGGCCGTCCCAACCAGGGCCGCGAACCCCACGGCCCGCCACTCCCCTCGAAGCCAACGCAGCTCTCACCCGCGCTCTTACGGCCGCGCGCTCGGCCCGGGCCAGATCCCTAAGCGCGTGCGCGCCAACGCCTCCACGCCCCGGCGCTGCGGGCACCGAGTAAAACGCGGAAGCGGCTCACGGCCTGGGAAGGGAGAGGCGGTGAGCGGCAAAGCCCGGAACGGATGAAGCCCCGGGGCCTCAGTCCGGAAGAGGAGCGCCGAGAGCGCGAGAGCGTGTCCGAAGCAGAAAGTCAGCACCTGGGCTGGAGTTTCCCCCTTGCGCATTTTCAGTAGGGAAAGCGAGGGGGGAGAACGAGGGTGGCTTCTACGGCCCCAGTTCTCGCCGCCCCCATCGTGTTGGTCCTTTGTGCCCTATAGGCGGTCGAGCACTCAACTGTCCACCTCCACCAGGGCAGCCCCCTGAATTTCCTCATTAAGAATGTACCTGTGTGGCTCACGCCTGTAATCCCAGCGCTTTGGGAGGCCTAGGCGGGAGGATCTCCTGAGCTCAGGAGTTTGAGATGAACCTGGCCAATATGATGAGACCTCTGTATCTACAAAAAATTTTAGAAATTAGGCATGTGTGATATGACAGTGGTGTATGCTTGTGGTCCCAGCTACTGGGGAGGCTGAGGTTGGAGGATCACTTGAGTCTGGAAGGTCCAGGCTGCCATGAGCCATGGTCACGCCACGGAACTCCAGCCTGGACGACGGAGTGAGACTATGTCTCCAAAAAAAAATAGAATTTTGTTACTGACCCTAGATCGCTTTGTGTGGTTAACTTTCCTGTGTTTTTTTGTGTAGAGACAGTAGATCCTCAAAGTCAGGGAAATTAACCTTTGTATCCTCCAGAGAACACAGAGCCCAGGACATAGGTAATTGTTCAAATGATGACTGATCAATAATTGGTTATTTGGTTGACTGACTGAGAGAGCAAGAGTCATGGTTCAAGATGATAAATCTCACCGGGGAGCTGTGGCTCATGCCTATCATCCCAGCACATTGGGAGGCCGAGGTGGGAGGATCGCTTGAGACCAAGAGTTCAAGACCAGCCTGCACAGAACAGTGAGACTTCATTTCTATTTTTTTTAAAAAAATTAATTAATTAATTAAATTTTAAAAAATAGCCAGGTGTGGTGGCTCACACCTGTAATCCCAGCACTTTGGGAGGCTGAGGCGGATGGATCACAAGTTCAGAAGTTCAAGACCAGCCTGGCCAACTTGGCGAAACCCTGTCTCTACTAAAAATACAAAAATTAGCCACGTGTGGTGGCCCATGCCTGTAATCTCAGCTACTTGGGAGGCTGAGGTAGGAGAATCACTTAAACCCGGGAGGCAGAGATCGGTGAGCCAAGATCACGCTATTGCACTCCAGCCTGGGAGACACAGCAAGACTCTGTCTCTAAAAAAAAGAAAAAGATATGTACAGACATGCAAACACTCGAAACATTCAGAAAGCTACTCAAAGCTGTGTTCCACAAAGATGAGAGGGTAAATTGAGAAAACGGAAGGCATAGGATCGGGGAAGCAGGGTCTAACACAAGAAGCAGACGAGGAATTCTGAAGGTGATGGCAAAGAGTATCCCAGGACAATAGCTGTGCTGCATGACTGGGGACCACCAGTCTTGGCTGGGAGAGAAGAGAAGACCAGGAGGTAGAGCCCCAGGGAAAACAATAAAACTGGGAGAATGCCTCACAGATTTGAAAAAAATCAAGGAATGCTATTTAAATGTGCTGTTTAGAAATATGAAGCTTAAAGCCATAGAAATTATCACAAATAGAGCAGCCCCTGCCCCACCTCTCCCTACCCTTAACTTTGTCTCCTGGCACTTGTTTGGGGCCAGGGTTCTGCTGTTTCTCTACTTATATTTCCATTCCCACTGTAAACAAATTTGTATCTTTTCTCTGCCCCTTTCCTCAGCACACCATGTTTATCATTTTGTTTCATTCTTTGCCAACTTAAGAGGTGATAAATGGTATATTATCCCGTTTCTTGGCTTATTAATGAGTTTGATTTTTTGTTTTGTTTTGTTGTTGTTGTTGTTGTTGTTGTTGTTGTTGTTGAGACGGGGTCTCTCTCTGTCGGCCAGGTTGGAGTGCAGTGGCATGATCTCAGCTCACTGCAACCTCCGCCTCCAGGGTTCAAGCGATTCTCCTGCCTCAGCCTCCTGAGTAGCTGAGACCACAGGCGTGTGCCACCACGCCCGGATAATTTTTTTGTATTTTTAGAAGAGACGGGGTTTCACTGTGTTAGCCAGGATGGTCTCCATCTCCTGACCTCGTGATCCACCCGCCTCGGCCTCCTAAAGTGCTGGGATTACAGGCAGGAGCCACTGCTCCCAGCTTTTAGATATTCATTAGTTTTCCTTCTAACTATTGATTAAGATGTAATTTATACAACGTTCAACCCTAAAGCCTAAAAAACCTTGCTGTGGAGAATAAGAGTAAATGCCCCAGCTCCACCTTAATGCTCAGAGGCTCTGACAGCCACAAGGACAGCCACTTCAAAACCATATGGGCTTCTTCGACCTTCCATAGGAGCTCATTCATTCAAAAGCTAATTTCCTTTGGCAAAGAGGGTCTCATATCTAAACTTAGGTTTTTCTTAGTAAGAAGGAGGCTTCCACATTAGGAAGAACTTCCCCTGAGACCTCACAGAAATAGTCCTTGATTTTCCTATCCCTTTTCTCAGGTCGCTTCACTGTTTTCTTATTTTCTCATCTAAATTGTGTGACTTTGGCAATGATTCACTCCAGACAACTTTTTTGTACAAAGAGAAAACATCAACTTTACGTCTGACCTTGAAATCAAAAGGACAGCAAGGAGGGCAGGTGTGGGGTGGGGAAAAAAAAAAGGCCAGACTTGGTGGCTCACGCCTGTAATCCCAGCAGTATGGGAGGCCGAGGCGGGCAGATCACCTGATGTCGGGAATTCCAGACCAACCTGACCAACATGGAGAAACCCTATCTCTACTAAAAATACAAAATTAGCTGGGCATGGTGGTGCATGCCTGTAATCCCAGCTACTCGGGAGGCTGAGGCAGGAGAATCGCTTGAACTCGGGAGGCAGAGGTTGTGATGAGCCAAAATCACACCATTGCACTCCAGCCTGGGCAACAAGAGCAAGACTCCATCTCAAAAAAAAAAAAAAAAAAAAAAAAAAGGAGTAAAGAGAAAAGAGGAGGTGAAAGCATCCAGATGGTTTTGTTTCTACAGGCCCAGTCACCTGTACTGGGTGACACCCATACTGTTCCTCCTCCCCCTCTCTTTCCCATTAATTCCTTGCCAGAACCAGGAACCGCCCACCTTTGTGACATCCTCTCTGTTGCCAAGCAACAGACAGGAAGTGGGGCTCCACTCACCCCAGGATCCCTGGTAAGAGCCTTGGACTGAGGAGCTCCAAAAAGGAAGCTGTGGCACTGCGGAGGGAAGGAGGGAAGAAAGTAGGTCTCCGAGATGCTGCGGCTTGTTGTGCAGTCGGCCAAGATTGACCCACCGCTAGCTCCACTACCCAGGCCCTGCATGTCCATCGACTTCAGAGGTGAGAGCCTCCCTGGGTCCACATGGGAGAGAGAAGCCCCCAGAGGCAACATGCATTCAGTGAAAAAAGAGGTGTAGGGTACCGTACTACGTAAAAGATGCCCTGTATAACACAAAGTGAAGGAGACATTACCCAGCTCTCTCAAAACTTATTGTTATCGTTTAATTATGACTTCTCTGCCTCCTACTTTTGCTAGGGAATGGGTATGGAAAAAAGAGAGGACGAGTGCTTCTGAACCTTCTTCCATGACCTAGAGCTGTGCCGTAAACTGAGGTTTAAAGAGAAAGTCCCTGCTTCCTCAGATTGATGTGGGGGTTTAAAAAGATAATATGTGTATAGCCCTTAGTATAACTTCTAGTAATAACTGCTTGATCATATTAGTTCCGTTTGCATGAGCTTTACAACTGACAAAGCGTTTATTTATTTATTTTTTTTTTTTGAGACAGACTGTCACTCTGTTACCCAGGCTAGAGTGCAGTGGTGTGATCTTGGCTCACTGCAACCTCTGCTTCCCAGGTTCAAGCAATTCCCCTGCCTCAGCCTCCAAAGTAGCTGGGACTACAGGCACATGCCACCACACCCGGCTAATTTTTGTCATTTTAGTGGAGACGGGGTTTCACCATATTGGTCAGGCTGGTCTCAAACTCCTGACTTCAGGGATCCACCCACCTGGGCCTCCCAAAGTGCTGAGATTACAGGTGTGAGCAATGGCACCCAGCTGACAAAGCCTTTTCATATGTACAATGATGTCTGCTCCTCACAGCAATTCCAGAGGTAGATGAAGCAAGTTTTATTATCTCCATTTTTTCTTTTTGTAGATGAAGCAAGTTTTACTATCTCCATTTTTTTTTTTTTTTTTTTTTTTTTAGTTAAGAGAACCGAACCCCAAGAAGGAAGGGAGAGAAAAGGATGAAAGAATTTGTGAGAGAAAATGAGAGATGTTAGGTATATTTAGATATCAAAGATCTGGCAGCTAAAAGGAAAGAAAAGAAAAAAGGGTGAAAGGGTGGGGCATGGTGGCTCACGGTTGTAATCCCAGCACTTTGGGAGGCTGAGGTGGGCAGATCACTGGAGGTCAGGAGTTCGAGACAAGCCTGGTCAACACAGTGAAACCCTGTCTTTATTAAAATATAAAAACTAGCTGGGCGTGGTGGCAGGTGCCTGTAATCCCAGCTACTTGAGAGACTGAGGCAGGAGAATCGCTTGAACCGGGGAGGCGGAGGTTGCAGTGAGCCAAGATCACACCACTGCACTCCAGCCTGGCCAACAGATCAAGAAGTGCCATCTCGAAAGAAAGAAAGAAAAACGAAAACAGGGTGAAAGTATGTAGGTGGAGATACAGGACGGTGGATACAGGTAAATAGGTTTTACAGGGACTGTTGGTAGGGAGAAAACCCGGCCCAAGAGAAAAGAGGACACAGTAGTTCCTACAGGAGATGTGAGTAAAGAATGGAATTTCTTTATTTTATGTTATGCTGTTGTTCTGTGAAACTAGGCTTGTTGAACACAGCAATATTCAGAGATTGAACATTTGGGACTCCAGGCTCACAGGGTCATACATGCTGATGTCCTCAGTCTGCAGGATTCAAGAGGGGCGGTGCGAGTTCCGGATGTATTTGCCCTTCTTGACTAATTCTCCAGTTAGCCAGGCAAGGGGTTGCCAGTTCTTCTCTGATTCTGAGCCATCTTCCCCACCAACTCATGGGCACCATCTTTCTCATTCCAGAAACATCTCCCACAAAGATGCCTAAAACTCAGAACCCTGGGTTCACCCACAGATTCTTCTGATTGTATGTTTATGTTTGACACTTTGTACTCTTTTTGTCCTTCTCAGCCTCTTCCTTCATATGCCATCCACTAACCTGCTCCCCTTCCCACTGCTTGGAGGGCCTTTTACCCATTATGGATGTTTCAGGATGTCTTCGTTAGGGTACACTGGGATTTGCTCCGGCCATAAATAAAACCTTAATTTTCAGTGGGTTAACAATGAAAGTTTACCTCTTGCTTACACCAAGTCCTGCACGGATGGTGCTGGTCAGACAGCTCTCCTGGGTAGCTCCTACAAGTGGTAGTTTAGGGACTAGCCACGTGTTCCTTGTGGCTGCAAAGTTAGCAGGTCACGAGGGTGGCTATAGGGAGAGGAGAGAGGAGAATGAAGAATCTCAGGGAAATTGAGAACCAGACCTGGCAGGGGCAAATATCATATCCATACCCCATTGGCCAGAGTGAGTCACACAGCCCCGCTTAGCTGCAAGACACTGAAAACTCTGGAGGAAAATGAAATGGGCCGGGCGAGGCGGCTTTCACCTGTAATCCCAACAATTTGGGAGGCTGAAGCAGGCAGATCGCTTGAGTCCGGGAGTTTGAGACCAGCCTGGGTGACGTGGTAAAACCCTGTCTCTACAAAAAATACAAAAATTAGCTGGGTATGGTGGCGTGTAGTCCAGGCTACTTGGGAGGTGGGAGGATGGCTTGAGCCTGGGAGACAGAGGTTGCATTGAGCCCAGATCATGCCACTGTACTCCAGCCTGAGTGACAGAGTGAGACCTCATGTCTCACACACACACACACACACACACACACACACACACACACACAAAAGTAAAGAAAAGAAAAAAGAAAAAGAGAAACGAAGAAAGAAAATGAAATGAACATATAGCATTATCTGTCACAGTGATAAAATCAAGAAATATAGGCCGGGCACGGTGGCTCACGCCTGTAATCCCAGCACTTTGGGAGGCCGAGGCGGGCGGATCACGAGGTCAGGAGATCGAGACTATCCTGGCTAACACAGTGAAACCCCGTCTCTACTAAAAAACACAAAAACTAGCCAGGCGAGGTGGCGGCGCCTGTAGTCCCAGCTACTCGGGAGGCTGAGGCAGGAGAATGGCGTGAACCCAGGAGGCGGAGTTTGCAGTGAGCCGAGATCCGGCCACTGCACTCCAGCCTGGGCAAGAGAGCCAGACTCCGCCTCAAAAAAAAAAAAAAAGAAAGAAAGAAATGTTGAACCCCTACAAGAAAGAAAGAAGTGATGCCATTTCACACCCGCCAGTGTTGACTTGAAGTTTCCTTAGAGTGTCCTAGTTCTCTTTACTCCACTCCGACCCAGACATTGAAATATTTCCTGCCATCAATGCCAGCCCCTTGGTTTCTTTGCAGATGTCAAGAAAAGAACTCGTGTGGTGGAAGGGAATGATCCCGTGTGGAATGAGGTAGACGCCAGGGCAAGCCCAGACGAGTAAATAACAATCCCAACAGCAAGGAGGCAAGGGTGGGGTCCAGGCAGGTGCTCGGAGGTCTAGGGAGAGGACCTGCAGCCTCACAAGTGTTCCTCAAGGCTGGGCATCTTGGCCTGGGAGTAGTAGCCTCTGACCTGACAAGGCTGTGAAGGCTGCACCTGCCCACGACTGTTGGTGGACTTCTCCCCCACTCTGAGGATGGACCATGGTATAGCCTATCAACTCGTCCAGCTGGGCCTCTTGACGTTCCTGGAAGCCTGAAGCAGAGTGAAGGCTCCCTTTGCATGACTCGTTCTCATCTGCCATCACTCCGTGTTACCCCTCGCCCCATTCCTAGTCCCCAAACCCTTAATTCCCAGCGTGCCCATGATGCTGCAGTTCAAGTCACAGAAGCCCAGTGGGATGTGCACAGCTTGGCGAGAAAGGTAACAAGCGCCATCTCCTGAGGGAAGTTAGACATAGAGGGATGTGCACAGCTTGGCCAAAGGTAGCAAGCGCCATCTCTGAGAAGTTAGACATGAGGATGTGCACAGCTTGACCAAGGTAGCAAGCGCCATCTCCTGAGGAAGTTAGACATGAGGGAAGTGCACAGCTTGTGAGTAGCAAGCGCCATCTCCTGAGGAAGTTAGACGCCAGAGGGAAGTGCACAGCTTGGCGAAAGGTAGCAAGCGCCATCTCCTGGGGAAGTTAGACGCGAAAGGTAGCAAGCGCCATCTCCTGAGGAAGTTAGACATGAGGGAGTTTCCTCAGTCTTAGAGAAACGCAGCGCCCGCCCGTTCCCCACATCTTTCCTCATTTCCTAGACACATGGGATGGGAAGGGCAGAGGAAGGATGCTGACCTCTCTATGCCCCTCACAGACCCTAATCTGGCACCTCTGGAACCGCCCCCTGGAAAATGACTCCTTCCTGCAAGTCACCCTTCAGGACATGGGCTCACAAAAGGAAGAAAGGTGAGGCAGAGAGAGGCAGGAGGAGCCTAACTACTGACCAATGCAGCAGCAGGTTATGTGACCCTTGTCTCTAATCCACAACTCACTCACATGAAGGACTGGAACCCACTCCAGCCAACTAAAGAGAAAAAGAGGGGTGGGTACGGAAAGGGTAGCCAGGGCAAGATTGCAAATCAGCTGGGACAGGAACTTGGGAACCCAGCAGCAGCTCTGTCCATCTGAAGCCACGTAGCTCAAATTTCTGCTTCTCTCTGCCCAACCCCAGCTTCTTATCACAGCCTCATCTAGTGCCCAGCTGAGACTCACATGCCCTGAGACTGAGGCTATGGCATCCCAGGTCAAAATTCCTAGGACAGAGAATCCTGTTGTCCCAGCTCTAGCCAGGTGTCCATCCCTGGTCCAATCAACTGTTACTTGCCTAGGAGCCCCAAGACAGTTCCCAGAGCCAGGAGCCCTGTGCCCTGTCGTGGATCCCCCAGCCCCACTGCATTCTTCTCCAGCCTCTCTCTGAGGACAGCACAGCCCTGGGAGGAAACCGTCTCTAGCTAAAGCCCTGCCCGGGAGAGAGGATGACGCCTTTCCCCTGGCTCGGGATCTCACACCTGCTCCTTGTCTCCCCAGCTTCATTGGCCTGGCCACAGTCCTGCTCAAGCCATTGTGGAAACAACCAAGCAAGGTCCTTTTTGTGAAGGATTTGACCCTGCTCAACCATTCCATGAAGCCCACAGATGTGAGTCAGGCCCAGGAAGGCCCAGGCAGGGTGACTGGAGGAATGGGGGCAGCTGGGGAAGCGGCCCACACCACAAGAGGGCTTCCTGCCTGGAGGGCCCCATCTCACCGCCTTCCTCTCCTGACCACCCCCCTTGCCATCATCTGCCCCCACCACAACCCACCTATTTAGATGAACTGACCACCTTCCGTGGGGAGTCAACCACTGTGCTAGGCCCTGTGGTACAAAATTGCCCAAAGCCCATGGTCTGTTGGAGTACGCTGCATTCACAGTGACAGGCGCTCCAGCGCCCATGAGACAAACTTCAGTAAAGCAAGGCCACTGGCTGAGGTCAGGAAGGAGTGAACGATTTGTCTCAGGAGGTCATGGACGGTTTACAGACGGGGTGATGTTTAAGACATACGGAAATGTAGGAAGACCACCCAAATGAGAACAAGCAAAGGCTATTTATTCAGAGCTTGTGCTAGCAAGGGACTCGTTCATCATCGTTTGTGTTTTGGTAGAGACTCAGAGGCAGCCAGGGGAGCGGGAGAGCTTCACAGTGGACAGAAGGGAAGGCTGCAGATGTGCCCTGATTGGAGGCTACGGGGGAGCCCAAGGCGGGCTAGCTAGAAACAGGGCCTCCCATGTGATTGGTTAGAGGGGCATGTTCAGCTCTCTCTGGTTGGTCCTAAGTTGGAAGTGGGGACAAAAATTAAGGCAGCTGCCAGTTATTAATCAAGGCCTGGCCATTTGGAGCTGATCGTTATTGCTTGGCTTCCTGGATTATTGCTAGAGACAGTAGTCTGACCGTCTACAAATCTGACTTGGAGCAGGCTGGCCTCCTGGGCTGGTTACTGTAGATAACAGGTTGGTTTCCTGGGCTGGTTGCTGCAGATGGTGGATCTGAGTCTTATTTTATATGTGGTTTGACCGTTGTCCATTTGTATGCAGACAGTCTGTGACTTACAATGGATGGACACACGATATTGTTGACTTACAATGAGTTTATCAGGATGTGATCCCATCGTAAGCCAAGGCGCATTCAGTCGGTCAGTTGAGTTGTAAGGAGAGGCATGAGTTTTCCCAATGGACAGGAGTGGAACCAGCCCAGGCAGGGGCATAAAGTGGGTGGAGCAGGAGGCAGGGTGAGGGAAGCTGTGCTGTACTGTTGGCACCCGGCGGGGGGGTGGAGGTGGGAGAGCTGAGGTTGTGTGGGCGACCAAGGGCTAGAGGTGAAGGGCCTTGTGGTCCATGCTGGTGAATTGTGACTTAACTTTGATCATTTAGACTCTTGGGTGTTTGGGGGCCATCCTGGTGACAGTCTGGAGGCTGGGTGGGTCATGGGAACACATGAAGGAAGGAGCTCAACTAGAAGGCAGGAGTGTGCAGGGGCCCCACATGAGCTCATGAGATGTTGGGCTCAGGGAAGAGCTGCTAGCATCTGTGTTCTGGGCTCAAGTCACCTCTCCCTCTCCTCCCCACTCTCCTGCATCCTTTTCTGCCACCATCACCACCATGTGGCTGCTTTAATCTACAAACATCCTCTCCACTGTAACCCATTGCTCTCTCCTCACCTATTTATAATCTCCCTCCACCCAGACTGTGCAGATGCCCATGGGGTGGCCCCATCCCGTGGCTAGCATCACGGCCCCCACTGGGAGGACCAGGCGTGAACCCAGCCAGACTGTGCAGGGCTTGGGTGCTGTGTCCTGGGATGGCGGGGTCTGACTTACAGCTCCCAGGCCTTTGTCTTGCAGTGTACTGTCACCCTACAGGTGGCCCACATGAGCCACCGGGATATTGAGAAGACAGGTATGTCCTTCCCTGGAGCTTACCCTTAAGGGCTTACCCTGCCCTTCTCCATGCACAGCTGGATGGCTTCTTGGGGACCTTCAAAACCTAACCCTTGAGGCCTACAGAAGGAATGTGACCGGGCTAGGGTCCCTGGAAGCTACAGGGTCTAGATGCCAGGTCTCCAGACATCTGGCTGAGGCCATCCCAATATGCCTATTTGTCATCTCTAGACGTAAGACCCATAAGATACAAGACATAAGTCTCCAAGGGGCTGCAAAGAGATGAGGATGGTCATCTCCAACAGCCCCAGTGTGTGGAGCAAGGTCCAGGAATCCACAATTCCTGAGGGTGGAGAGGCCCATGGTAATGTTCTGCAGAGGACATACGTCCCTGTTGGGGCCTCTTGGCCATGCTTTTAGTCAGGAGACGGTCACTGGGTACAGAATGGCGGAATGGGGAAAATGCCTCAAACCTCCTGGGCCCCAGGCCTTTTCAGCCCACCCTGGACTGCGTCTCTCTAGGAGCTGAAGACCTCCTGGGCATAACGGCAAGAGAGGCGGCCAGGCAGAAATTGATGGTCCCTGGCTCCATCGCGCACAGGGCTCTGTCCTCAAAGCCTCAGCACTTTCAGGTGAGGACCCTCCAGGTTGCAAGTTCATGTGACCCACCTGACACCCTTGTTTGCTGTGTTCCCAGGCTGTCCTCACCCCTCCCCAAGGTCATGGTAGAAGGGCAGAGCTTCGGACCCAGCTTCAGGCCCTCAGATCCTTGCCACATCCCCTGCTCCTCCCGTGGCCATTCTGGAAACTTCTGCCTGTAGCTGAAGCGACAGGGCTCCAGTGAGGCAGTAGGAGGGCTGGCTGTGCATTGGCAGGCCCTGGTACCTGCCGGGGAAGCAGCGCAGATGACAGGGATCCTGCCCTCTCAGAGTCCTTGGTTGTTGGCAAAACAAAGTAGGGCACAGGGAAAGTTAAATTAACTGTACAGGAGAGGCTGGGGAGTGAGGGGACCTGTGGGAAGGCCCACATTTCCGTATGGATTTAGGAACCCTCATCCCATGGCTTATCAACTTCCCTCTACCTTCTAGCCTGTGGACTAACATTCCTGCCATGGTTTTACCTGCTCCCCGGCCTGCTCCTTGCCCAGGAGTCAGGGAGGCTCCTGGACCGCTCCTCTTCCTGCACCCAGCCAAGTCCTAGCTCTTAACGTCACCCAGCTGCTCCCATTTCCCCCTCACCACTTCCATTCCCTGGCCTGAGCCACCACCATCTCTTCCCTGGACCACATCAGAAGCCTTCTCCTGAACCCCCAGCCTCCAGCTCTCTCCTGTCCGTTCTTCAACCAAAATGGCCTTTCAAAGATGTCACTCTTATCACGCCAAGCACCTTCTTCAAAAGCCCCAGTGTCCTCCTCACAAGATCCAATTCCTTTTACAATGGCTTCCCGGGTCTTGATAACCCAAGCCTGTCTCTCCAAGCCTTTCCAAGTCCATTGCCTCCTAGCCTTCTCCCCGTGGATTGTCTCTCTCCTCCCAGTGGATTGTCTCTCTCCACTGTGGTAGGGAGAGAATATTCTTTCTTTTTTCTTTTCTTTTTTTCTTTTCTTTTCTTTTTTCTTTCTTTTTTCCTTCCTTCCTTCTTTTTTTCTTTCTTCCTTCCTTCTTTCCTTTCTCTCTTCTTTCTCTTTTTCTTTTCTTTCCTTTCTTCCTTTCTTTTCCTTCCTTCCTTCCTTTCCTCCTTCCTTCCTTCCTTCTTTCCTTCCTTTCCCTCTCTCTCTTCTTTCTCTTCCTTCCTTTCTTTTCTTTCTTTCTTTCTTTCTTTCTTTCTTTCTTTCTTTCTTTCTTTCTTTCTTTCTTTCTTTCTTTCTTCTTTCTTTCTTTCTTTCTTTCTTTCTTCTTTTTATTTGAGACACAGTCTCACTCTGTTGCCCAAGCTGGAGTGCAGTGGCACAATCACAGCTCACTGCAGTCTAGACCTCTGGGCTCAGGTATCCTCCCACCTCAGCCTCCCAAGTAGCTGGGATTACAGACAGGCATGCACCACCACGCCCAGCTAATTTTTTTTTTTTTTTGAGACGGAATCTCGCTCTGTAGCCCAGGCTGGAGTGCGGTGGCCGGATCTCAGCTCACTGCAAGCTCCGCCTCCCGGGTTCACGCCATTCTCCGGCCTCAGCCTCCCGAGTAGCTGGGACTACAGGTGCCCACCACCTCGCCCGGCTAGTTTTTTGTATTTCTTAGTAGAGACGGGGTTTCACCGTGTTAACCAGGATGGTCTCGATCTCCTGACCTCTTGATCCACCCGTCTCGGCCTCCCAAAGTGCTGGGATTACAGGCTTGAGCCACCGCGCCCGGCACGCCCAGCTAATTTTTTGTAGAGACGGGGTTTTGCCATGTTGCCCAGTCAATCTGGTCTCAAACTCCTGGGCTCAAGCGATTCTCCCACCTTGGCCTCCCAAAGTGCTGGGATTACAGGCGTGAGCCACTCACTGCACCTGGCCTAGAATGTTTTCTTATCAGAACAATTTTGTCCCAGCTGGGGAAGGTGAGGCCAAGGTCCTCAACATCAGCTCCCCATGTGTTGTCCCCTTAGGTTCGGGTGAAGGTGTTTGAAGCCCGACAGCTCATGGGCAACAACATCAAACCAGTGGTGAAGGTGTCCATCGCAGGCCAGCAGCACCAGACACGCATCAAGATGGGGAACAACCCTTTCTTTAACGAGGTGGGCTGAACGGGGCACCTCAGGCAAGGAGCCAGCCAAGGGCTGGGCATCCCGGGCGGGCAGCCTGCAAGCTTGCTCCTTCACTAGGGTGTCTTCATGTGTTTGTTCCACAAGCATTTACTGAGTGTCTCCTGAGGGCCAAGCACTGAAAATACAGAACAGGATAACTCAGAGCCCTGCATCTGAGGAGCTGGGGGGCTGGTGGGGGCACAGCTCATGAATCCATAAACAATTACAGTGGAGCAGATCGTGGTTTGCAGAGGTCTGGGAGCATTGTCACTGGAGGTCTGGAGCAGAGACCCAGACCATGTATGTCCCGTTGCTGCTGGAGCCCCAAATGGTAGCGCTGTGCCTGATATACAGTAGGTGCTCCATAAATGCCTGTTGAATTAATTAGTAAATAAACAAATACAAGATAAAAGCACAGTGGAAGCTGGGAGGAGTGAGTGAGTAATGAGGCTGGGGGTGACGGAGAGGACTCAGAAGGGCTCCAGCAACCCTGAAGGAAGATTTTACCAGGGAAAGACAGATGGGATGGGAAAAGATAATTCAGGAAAAAGTGATGATGTTTTCAAAGGCCTAGAACCAAGCAAGCCGCAGACTTGACAGCAGAACTATAGCTATGGGTGTGTCTGGAGGAGACTGGCTGGAGGGGAGCCTACAGTGTGGGCTGGGGTCCCATCCTGGACACTACTCAGGAGCCATGGAGGACTTCGGCAACAGAGTGACAGGCCTAGGTTTGCATTTGGGAAAGGAGTTTCTAGCTGCCACAGGGAGCAGGGACAGAGTGGACTGGTAGGGCAATCTAGAAGGAGGTGTGGGCTCAAATCTCCATCCTAGGCAGCTAGCTGGGTCCTGAGTTCTCCAGGGATCTCCTACCATTCCCCATTCTGGGCAGAAAACCCTCCAGGAGACTGGGCGTGGTGGCTCATGCCTGTAATTCCAGAACTTTGGGAGGCCGTGGTGAGTGGATCACCTGAGGTCCGGAGTTCGAGACCAGCCTGACCAATATGGTGAAACCCTGTCTCTTTTGTAAAAAGACAAAAAATAGCCACACGCAGTGGCGGGTGCCTGTAATCCCATCTACTCAGGAGGCTGAGGCAGGAGAATCGTTTGAACCCAGTAGGTGGAGCTTGCAGTGAGTTCAGATGGCACCACCACACTCCCACCTGGGCGACAGAGCAAGACTCCCCCTAAAAAAACAAACAAACAAACAAAAAAACTGGGAAATCCCTCTAGCAGCCCGGGAGACCTCTGCTTCTGGGGGAGCGTGAGAGAAGTGGCACAAGTTGAGTATCCCTTACCCAAAATGCATGGTAGCAGAAGCGTTTTGGATTTCAGATTTTTTTGGGAATCTGGAATATTTGCATTGTACCGGTTCAGCATTCGTAATATAAAAATCCAAAATCCAGAACGCTCCAGTCAGCATTTCCTTTCAGGGTCATGTTGGCACTCAGAAAGTTTCAGATTTTGGAGCATTTTTCATGTCAGATTTTTGGATTAAGAATACTCAACCTGTTCTCGTAAATCCATTGAAATGGGTAAAGTTGTGGGAAGAAGCACGTTATTCTGAGCTTTCGGGTTTACCGGGTGCTTGGGTGAAGTGGTGGAAGAAATCGTCCACTCTCCCCCAATTCTCTCTGCCTCAGATCTTCTTCCAGAATTTTCACGAGGTTCCTGCAAAGTTCTTTGATGAGACCATCTTAATTCAGGTGAGGAGCCAAACCGGTCCCCAGCAAGGTGTGTTTCTTGTCCCACTTCAATACCAGGAAGCGCTGCAGCTCCAGCCCCCGTCCTTAGAGCCAGGGGCACTTCAGATTGTCTTCCTCACCCACCCCCCAACTTTCTTCACCCCCTGGCACCCAGATTATTCATTCATTTACTCATTCATTCAACAAACGTTGTGGACTGCCAACTGCCCGGCCCTGAACTGGGCGCCAAGGTCAACAAGGCAGCCCCTTCCCATGTGCCAGGATTCTCAGGCCACCAAAGGCCCCTCCGAGTAGAATACTCCATTCCCTAACCAAAGGGAGCCCAGTAACAATGGTGAACATGTGGTTATCAGGTGCCTGCCATGTGCCCAGCGCAGGGCTAAGGAGGACAAAGAGGCCTCTTCCTTTGAAGAATTTACATGTTCTTGGGAACAAAGGCACAGAAGAAACAACCAGGAGAGCATGTGATGGATAACGCTGAGTGCAACCCCTTGCTTTATGTTGACTCGGGGCCAGGAAATTGACCTCTCTGATCAATTTCCTCATCAGTAAAATGGAATTAAAAATGTGAACCTCACAGGGTTCCTCTGGGAGTGAAATGAGAGCACCCATGCGCAAGCGTCAGCCCCATTAGGAAGTATTCAATACGTCGGGAGGATCCCGGATGTGCCTTTGCTATTCCTCTTACAGGGGCTGAGGGAAATTGGGATTGTGAATAATTAAAATATTTCTGGGAACTCCCTTGCAGGTGGTGAACTCCTCAGTAATGAGATACAAAGCAGAGATTGGGAGATTTCAAGTGAGTACTGTACATGGGAGGAGGTTCGGTGAAACAGTTATAGCAGAGACCCACGCTGGGCTCCACGCCCAAGTCTAGGGAAAAGGACTGGGATTTTCATCGGCTGGGCACGGTGGCTCACGCCTGTAATCCCAGCACTTTGGGATGCCGAGGCAGGCAGATCACGAGGTCAGGAGATCGAGACCATCCTAGCTAACTCTACTAAACTCTAGTGAAACCCCGTCTCTACTAAAAATACAAAAAACTAGCCGGGCGTGGTGGCGGGTACCTATAGTCCCGGCTACTCGGGAGGCTGAGGCAGGAGAATGGCTTGAACCCGGGAGGCGGAGCTTGCAGTGAGCCAAGATCGTGCCACTGCACTCCAGCCTGGGCAACAGAGCGAGACTCCATCTCAAAAAAACAAAAAAGAAAGATCCACACTTGTATCCACCTATCAACTGGGTGACTTAACACAAGTTATTCTGAGCCTCTACTTCCTCATCTGTAAAAGGCGGATAATAATATACTTAATCTGGAGGGGGATTGTGAGGATTAAAGTATATAAAACATTTACAAGCTCGGGGCGTCATGTTGATTTCCGCACACCCACGATACTGTGAACACAGTTCAAATCTCTGCCTCCAGGAGGTAGAAGCAGAGGATCCAAAAGGTGAGCTTACATGTTAGGGAAACTCAGAGAAAGATCGCTGCCTTTGAGGACAGAGTGAAAAGATGTGATTTGGAAAGAGGCTGAGAGATTAGGAGAGTTTGCAGTCGTGATGGGCTAAACTAAGATTCTCCAAATCCAAAAAGATCAGGAAAAGGTAGGTTGCTAGGTTAGATACAGGATGCCCAGTTACATTTAATCTTAGATAAACAAAAAAATACATTTTAAATATAAGTATATCCCAAATATTACAAGGTTTCTCACCAAATATTGCAGGGACATATGTGTATTAACCAAGTAGTCATTGTTTATCTGAAATTTTAATTTAAGTGGGTCTCTTCTATTTTTATTTACTAAATCTACGATGTTAGGAAAGGGGGACCACCCTTGGAAAAAAACATACAGAGGGATTCTAGAAATGTTAGATGGTAGGAGGTGAAAAATGTGCTCTTGACAAAGGCCACCGCATAATTTCTAGACAGTGACCAGTGACATCAACTGACTAAGTTATAGAGGTCAGAGAAAACCTGAGTTTAACCGAGCTTCTTTTTTTTTTTTCCCTTGAGACGTGATCTTGCTTTGTCACCCAAGCTGGAGTGCAGTGGTGCGATCACGGCTCACTGCAGCCTCGAACTCCCAGGCTCAAGCAGTCCTCCCACCTAAGCCTCCTGAGTAGCTAGGGCTATAGGTGTGCACCACCACACCTGGCTAATTTTTAAATTTTTTTTGTAGCGAGTGGGTCTCACTGTGTTACCCAGCCTGGTCTAGAACTCCTAGACTCAAGCCGTCCTCCCACCTCAGCCTCCCAAAGTGCTGGGATTACAGGAATGTGCCCACCTCACCCAGCTGAGCTTATTTTTTTATTTCTTTTTATTTTGGTATCATGAACTCCCATATCCTCATCAGTCATCTTCATCAATTCACAGTCAGTTGTGTTTTACCTACACCTAGCCCCTTTCCCTTTCACCACTGAATTATTTTGAATCAAATCTCAAGCATCATATCATTTTATCTTTCTACATTTCAGTATGTATTGCGAAAACATAAGGATTTTATTAAGCATAACCACATACAATTATCACATCTAAAAACCTTTATAATTCCTAGGTAGCATTAAATACCTAGTCAATGTTTAAATTCCCCTAATTGTTTTACATATTCCTTTTACAGTTTGTTCAAATCAAGATTCCAGGCTGGGCACAGTGGCTTACACCTGTAATCCCAGAACTTTGGGAGGCCAATGCAGGCGGATCACCTGAGGTCAGGAGTTCAAGACCAGCCTGGCCAACATGGCCATCTCTACTAAAAATACAGAAATTAGCTGGGCATGGTGGCACATGCTTGTAATCCCAGCTACTCATAACGCCGAGGCAGGTGAATCATTTGAACCCAGGAGGTAGAGCTTGCAGTGAGCCAAGATTTTGCCACTGCACTCCACTCTGAGCGACAGAGAGAGACTCTGTCTCATAAAAACAAAAACAAAGGCCGGGCGCGGTGGCTCACGCCTGTAATCCCAGCACTTTGGGAGGCCGAGGCGGGTGGATCACAAGGTCAGGAGATCGAGACCATGGTGAAACCCCGTCTCTACTAAAAATACAAAAAAATTAGCCGGGCGCAGTGGCGGGCGCCTGTAGTCCCAGCTACTCGGGAGGCTGAGGCAGGAGAATGGCGTGAACCCAGGAGGCGGAGCTTGCAGTGAGCCGAGATTGCGCCACTGCACTCCAGCCTGGGCGACAGAGCGAAACTCCGTCTCAAAAAAAAAAACAAAAAAACAAAAAAACAAAAAACAAAAAACAAAAAACAAATCAGGATTCCAAACCAGGTCCATTCATTGCAAGTGGTTAATATGCATTTTAGTTTCCTTTTACTCTGTTGGTCCTCCCTGTTCCCCCCACTTCCTCTCCTTTTTTTTTTTTTTTAATTTGCAACTTATTTGTTAAAGAAACTGGGTAGCTGGACCTGTAGCATTTTCTCTGGTCTGGATTTTGCTGATTTCATCTTCAGGGGATCATTTTGCATTCACCCACCCTGCTTCCCTATCTAGAGTTTAGATCAGTCTGAACCAATCAGTTGGCAAAGGGACTTTAACAGAAGGCACAGAACGTCTGCTGGTCTCTCATTTTATGTTGTTAACAGCTAATGGTGATCACCGCCTGAATCTGTTGCTTCATTAGAAGTGACTGAGTTTTTATTGTTTTTTTATTTTTTAATTTATATATATATATATATATATATATTTTTTTTTTTTTTTTTTTGAGACAGAGTCTTGCTCTGTCACCCAGGCTTCAGTGCTGTGGTGCGATCTTGGCTCACTGCATCCTCTGCCTCCCAGGTTCAAGCGATTCTCCTGCCGAAGCCCCCAGGGATAGCTGGAACCACAGGCACGCACCACCACGCCCAGCAAATTTTTGTATTTTTAGTAGAGATGGGGTTTCACTATGTTGACCAGGCTGGTCTCAAACTCCTGGCTTCAAGTGATCCGCCCGCCTCTGCCTCCCAAAGTGCTGGGATTACAGGCATGAGCCACCGTGCCTTGCCCTGTTTTTTTTTATATTATGGATTTATTGAAGTGTCATTGACATACAATGAATTGTACATATTTAAAATGTACAATTTGATATATTAAAAATATGTGCACACCCAGGAAAAAAACATCATCACAATTAAGATAATGAATATATCCATCACATCTGTCACCTCCAAAAGTTGCCTAATGCACCTTGGGAATCACTCCGTCTCATTCCCATCCCACCCCCTTGCATTCCCAGACAACCACTGATCTGCTTTCTGTTATTATGCGAACGTTTCTTTCCCAGAGTTCACATTAATAGATAAGTATTTCCTTTAGTTCTTATCAATAGAATCATACATTCTCTACCCTTTTGTGTCTGCTTTCTTTCCCTCAGCATTGCTATTCTGAGATTCATCCACGTTGTTGCATTTGTCAGCAGTGCATTCCTTTTTACTGCTGAGTAATAGTCCAGGGTATGGATGTACCGCAGTTTAATTATCCATTCCCTTGTGAATGGACATTTAGATTGTTTCCAGTCTGAGGCTGCTATAATGGGGCTGTGTAAACATTTGTGTACAAATCTGAGTGTAGACGTAAGCTTTAATTTCTCTTGGGAAAATATGTAGAAGCAGAATGACTAAATCATACGGTAGGTATATGTGGTACATGTTTAACTTTTTTTTTTTTGGAGTTGGAGTCTTGCCCTGTCACCCAGGCTGGAGTAATGGCTTGATCTCAGCTCACTGCAACCTCCCCCTCCTGGGTTCAAATGATTTTCCTGCCTCAGCCTTCCAAGTAGCTGGGATTACAGGCACCCACCACTACATGTGGCTAATTTTTTTTTTTTTTTTTTTGAGACGGAGTCTCGCTGTGTCGCCCAGGCTGGAGTGCAGTGGCCAGATCTCAGCTCACTGCAAGCTCCGCCTCCTGGGTTCATGCCATTCTCCTGCCTCAGCCTCCGGAGTAGCTGGGACTACAGGCGCCTGCCACCTTGCCTGGCTAGTTTTTTGTATTTTTTTTAGTAGAGACGGGGTTTCACCATGTTAGCCAGGATGGTCTCGATCTCCTGACCTCGTGATCCGACCATCTCGGCCTCCCAAAGTGCTGGGATTACAGGCTTAAGCCACCACGCCTGGCCTAATTTTTGTATTTTTAGTAGAGACTGTCGACCAGGCTGGTCTCGAACTCCTGACCTTGTGATCCACCTGCCTTGGTCTCCCAAAGTGCTGGGATTACAGGCGTGAGCCACCACACCCAGTCAACTTTTTTTTTTTTTTGAGACAGAGTCTCACTCTGTCACCAAGGTTGGAGTGCAGTGGTGCAATCTCAGCTCACTGCAGCCTCTGCCTCCCAGGTTCAAGCGATTCTTCTGCCTCAAACTCCCGAGTAGCTGGGATTACAGGTGCATGCCACCATGCCTGGCTAATTTTTGTATTAGCCTGCCTCGGCCTCCCAAAGTGCTGGGATTACAGGTATGAGCCACTGCACCCAGAGGTGTATGTTTAACTTTTTAAGGAAAATTTCTAAAAGTTTTTTTCCAAAATTCCAAACAGGTTGTGCCACTGTACATGCCCAGCAGCAGTGTATTAGAGTTCCAGTCGCCCCACATTCTCCACAATACTTGATCTAGTCCATCTTTTCTATTTTAGCCATTCTAATGGTGTGTAGTAGTATTTCGTTGTGATTTTAATTTAAACCTTCCTGATGACTAATGATGTTGAACATCTTTTCATGTGCTTGTCATCTGTATATCTTCTTTGGTGAAGTGTCTGTTCAAACCTTTAGCTTGTTTTCCTTGGATTGTTTGTTTTCTAACTATTGATATATGATTTGCTAATATTTTCTTCCAGAGTATGACAGCCCGTTCATTTTCTTTCTTTCTTTTTTTTTTTTTTCCGAGACGGAGTCTCGCTCTGTCACTCTGGCACAATCTCGGCTCACTACAAGCTCCGCCTCCCAGGTTCATGCCATTCTCCTGCCTCAGCCTCCCGAGTAGCTGGGACTACAGGGGCCCGCTTAATTTTTTTGTAGTTTTAGTAGAGACGGGGTTTCACCATGTTAGCTGGGATGGTCTCAATCTCCTGACTTCGTGATCCACCCGCCTCGGCCTCCCAAAGTGCTGGGATTGCAGGCGTGAACCACCGCACCCGGCCAACAGCCTGTTCATTTTCCTAATGGTGTCTTTCAAAAGCAAAAATTTTCCTTTTGATGAAGTCCAATTTATCAAGCTTTTCTTTGATGGGTTGTGCTGTGTTGCTGTATCTAAGAACACATTATGGGTGGCCCTAATGTTCCATAGCAGCTTGCCCCACATATGTCACCTTCCATCCCGAACCACATTCCTCAAAACTCTGTGTCAGAAACTATCTCCAAGGGGAAAGAGAAAACCCGTAGTTTCTTTATCAACTCCTACCTCTTACCTTAACCATCGTCTTCCCCAGGAGCAGTGAGCCCTTCCCTGACCCAGGAGTAGGGTAGAGTCGGGCTGCATTGGTCGAGAGGGTGGCACAGTGCAGTGTTGAGGACATTTTCCACGCAGGCTTTCTCACTGACTGGTTGTAAGACTTTGGGCACCTCTCTCAAACTCAGTGTCTTCCTCTGCAGAGTAAAGGTGATAATGGGCTTACCTCCCAGGCTGCTGTAAGGATGAAAGGAGTTAGGGCAGAGAACATACTGAAGCCCCAACAGCTAGGAGTTGGGTCAGGTTAGTTGGTATTACAAATCTTGGCTGCAGGCCCTAACTCATTCTCACCCCACTCTTGTCTTTTCAGACAGATATTGGGTTTATCTACCATTCTCCAGGTAGGTAACACTTATGGCAAATATGTATGTCTTCTGAGAAAAATCAGGCCGGGGTCAAAATACCTTAAAATCCCCGTATGTCCAACACATGGGTGGAGGGAAGTATTAGAGATTGTAAATTATTTTCTGTATTTGATAATATTTTACTGTACATTGTGGTATTTTATTTTACCTTATTTTTTAATTTAATTTTATTTTTTGAGATGGAGTCTCGATCTGTCACCCAGGCTGGAGTGCAGTGGCTCGATCTCGGCTCACGGCAACCTCTGCCTACTGGGTTCAAGTGATTCTCCTGCTTCAGCCTCCCAAGTAGCTGGGATTACAGGCATGCGCCACCATACCCAGCTAATTTTTTATTTTTAATAGAGATGGGGTTTCACCATGTTAGCCAGGCTGATCTCGAACTCCTGACCTGAGGTGATCCACCCACTTCAGCCTCCCAAAGTGCTGGGATTACAGGCGTGAGCCACCGCACCTGGCCTGTTTTACTTTATAATAGTAGCATCTTTCTCCGAAAAACTCAGGGCATCCCTTTCGGTCAAGTGCTGGCCTTTTATTACCATCCTGGGTTAGATTTCTATTTTTTTAGGCCAGTATTGGGAGATTAAAGTTTGAGTGGAAGTTTCCACCGTACCTGGCTATAACATACACACCAGGTTGAGGAAAATGGTTGCCTCTACAGTGCCTCGTTCCAGACCAGGCCACAGTGAGAACAGTAGGTTCCCAAGGCATAAACAGGGGTCCCTGTTTCCTAGAGGCAACAGCTGGCAGCCTTGTGAGCACGCTATCATTGCTTCATGGTACACGTGACTCCCCTTTTCCTCCGCCACTGGATAGAACACAGGATGCCCGAGACGTATTTCCACCTTCCCCTCCTCCTAAAACAAAGGCTAGTTTCAGGGGAGAGGGAAGGAGGCTGGAGGCAGATCTCCCATGGCCCCTCTGCCTCTCCAGGTCACACACTCCTAAGGAAATGGCTAGGCCTCTGCCAACCAAATAATCCCAGCAGTGGTGTGACAGGCTACCTGAAAGTCACCATCTGTGCCCTCGGTGTGGGAGACCAGGCCCTGGTGAGCTGCCCCTAATGCCCCAGGAACCTATCCTATCCTGGCTGCCTCCTGGGGGCACCCCTGGGCCTCACCCTGGGCGGTGACCATCAGATCTCTCCTTTGTCCGCTGTGTCACTGCAGGGTTGTCCCATCCCCCTGCACCAAGTGGGAGGTTGGGGAAGCAAAGTCTGGGGTCCTTGCCTGTGACCTCCACATGACCTTGACTATATCAGCTCTCTGGTCCCTCCAGATAGATCAAAAGCAGCTGTATGGGGCCGATGACACCGATATTCAGATCTTCAAGTCAGCGGTAGTCCCGATCAACATGGCTTACTTACAGTTCTTCATCTACTGCGCAGAGGACCTTCACCTCAGTGAGTCCGGGTGCAGGGGAGGGAGCAGCCCTGAGGTTCCCTACACAGTGGCACCCTGGATCCTCATGGAGTTTCCTCATTCCTTTTGACACTAAACTACAGTTTGGGGTAGGGGGACAGGGTGAGACTGGAATGCCCCGAGACTTGTCCTGTGGAAGTGCCATGGACACCCTTTCAAATGGGCCTCACACCCCCGGCCTATGACGGCCAGATGCAGACTCAAGGCTCCCTACGTCCCCCCACCCCATGCCATTGTGTGGAAGAAGAAGGGGCGCGGTGGTAACTGGAGACAGGTCTGCCCGGGGGGCACCCCTCTAAATTATAGGGGAGGGTTTTCAGTTGTTCTGTCTCCACTCTATTCCCTCCCCCTGAAAAAATATGCTGCTGGCTCAGATGTCTTTCAACTTGTTGTTCATAGAGAAACAGCAGTCAGTGAATCCTCAGTTGGAGGTGGAACTAATTGGGGAAAAGGTAAGCGTAGAAATGTTCTGAGACCTAGAGAGACTGGCACCTAGAGAAAGTAGTGTGGAGAGGAGGGTGGCCCGGTGGGTAAGACCACAGGAGTCATCTCCCAGTCACCCACTGAGAGAAGCACTCACCCCTGCACCTGGACCTCTGTGCAGGTGGAAGCCATGTCTTATTCTCTGCATGCCAGATGCCCCCCCAAAACCAAATACATGTAGAAGAATGAGTGCATGAGTGAAACATGCCAATGAGTGAACAACATTGAAACTGTCGCCATTCCTCAGTTTCTTGATGTGTAAACGAAGGTTCTGGGCGAGAGAGTTGCTGACACTCCGTGAGCCTCTATGAATACGGAATAGCATTTTCCAAAGTGTGCTGTTGGGTGTCATGGGTGAAAAAGGGTCCTATGTTCAAATTCGGAGAATGCTAGGTTAAAGTTAAATAGATTTGTTTCCGTATTTGCCAAGCAGAATTTCTACCACATTCTGTTTGTTGCAAGCAAGTCATTAAATCCAGCCCACACATAAGCAGAGAGAAAATAATGTCTACCTTTTGAAGGGAGGAGTACCAAAGAAATCGTGGACATATTTAAAACCACCATACTGAGTATGTCCCAGTGAGTGGTTGGGTACCTCCAAAGCTAGGTGAAACGTTCTCAGGTGGTAAGTGACACACAGTTTTCAAAAATTTTGATACTTCTGTGTTCATCTTGTGTACCTTAAAAGGTTTAATAAGGCCAAGTAACACTTGGTTTCACAGATACCACTGCTTAAAAATGAAGTCAACTGATGGTTTTGAAAGAGGCATGCTGCTGCCGTTAGCTGTGTTTTTACCCATTTTTCTTTTGGAATCTTAGAATTTATCTAGCAAAATCTATGTGTATACACTCATATAGTAAGGTTAGTAGTCCTATATCTATTTAAAAATGAAGTCTATTGAAAGCTGACTTAAGGAAAAATATGAGAAATCTGAATCTGGCAAACACTTCAGATAAGTACACGAAGGACCGGTGCTATTGCTGCTGAGAAGTTGTGCAGGTGTCTTGAGAGCAGGGATGAGCTGGAGCACCTCTGTGTGCAGACAGTGGCCACCGGGGGCTGGACAGGAAGAGCTGGAAGGTGAGGCCAGTGGAGGGAGGAGGGGGCAGGCTGGCACCAACACTGCTTTGGCACATTCCAGCTCAGGACACACATGCAGACGCAAACCGACAACCCGATATGGAACCAGATCCTGACCTTCCAGATTCAGGTATGGCTCCTCCATCATGCCCACCCTTCTCCTACATCCCCTAACGTAGAAGGGAAGTTTGGATAGTTGTGTGGGGGTGAAGACAAGAGGGTGGGGGCCAAGAAGCATGACAAGGGGGACTCTGCCTGATAGGGAGCATGAGGAAGCCCAGGGCACATTATGGAAAACTTTACCTTTTACAGCTTTACTGAGTTATCATTGACATACCTATGTCAATGGTATGTATGACTTGTAGATATTTAAAAGGTACAATTTGGCCGGGCATGGTGGCTCACACCTGTAATCCTAGCACTTTGGGAGGCTGAGGTGGGCAGCTCACTGGAGCTCCGGAGTTTGAGACCAGCCTGGCCAACAGTGGCGAAACCCAACTCTACTAAAAAGATAAAAATTAGTCGGGCGTGGTGACATACGCCTGTAGTTCCAGTTACTCGGGAGGGTGACGCAGGAGAATTGCTTGAACCTGGGAGGTGGAAGTTGCAGTGAGCTGAGCCGTGGTATCACCTACTTATCTGAGCAAACACTTCAGCTCAGTAGGTGATAACAGCCTGTTGCCCAAGCCGAGCCATTGCATTCCAGCCTGCGCAACAGGGGGAGAGTCAGTCTCAGAAAAATATAAAAGAAGAAAGAAAGAAGTAAGTAGAAAGAAAGAAAGAATGAGTAGCTGGGACTACAGGTGCCTACCACCAAGCCTGGCTAATTTTCGTACTTTTAGAAGAAAGAAAGAAAGAGAGAGAGAGAGAGAGAGAGAGAAGGAAGGAAGGGAGGAAGGAAGGAAGGAAGGAAGGAAGGAAGGAAGGAAGGAAGGAAGGAAGGAAGGAAGGAGGGAAAAAGAAAGGGAAGGAAAGGGAAGGGAAGGAAGGAAAAGAGAGAAAGAGAAAGAAAGGGAGGGAGGGAGGGTGGGGAGGAAGGGAGGGAGGGAAGGAAGGAAGGAAGGAAGGAAGGAAGGAAGGAAGGAAGGAAGGAAATGTACAATTTGATACATTTTAAAATATGTACACATCCAGGAAACCCACCATTACAATCAGCATGATGAATATATCTATCACCTCCAAAAGTTGCCTCATGCCCCTTGGGAATCCCTCCCTGTGATTCCCGTTCCACCCCCTTCCATCCCCAGGCAACCACCAATCTGCTTTCTGTTACTATGGATTAGCTTGCATTTCCTAGTGTTTCATAGAAATGGAATCGTTCAGTAAGCACCCTTATTTGTTTGACTTCTTTCACTCAGCATAATTATTCTGAAATTAATTCATGCTGTTGCTGTGTATCCGTGGTTCATTCTTTTTGTTGCTGAGTAATATTCTATTGTATGGATGTACCACAGTTTGCTTATCCGTTTCCTTGTTTATGAACGTTTCCAGTTTGCGGCTGTTACAATGAAGCTGTAAACACTTGTGTACAACCCTTAGCATAGACATATGCTTTCATTTCTCTTAGGTAAATAGGTACAGGCAGAATGACTAGATTCTGGTAGATATATTAAGCAATGAGTGGATCATACAACTGAACTTTCCAGAGAACTTAAATGTACCCTTTCACCCACATATAAAAACAAAACAAATCCCTTTAAAGACCCATTTTAAATGATAATATACATTTTCTTATCTTCTCAGCAACTTGCCCTGAATATAATTAGAGCTTTTTGTTGATGGCCTGGAGCCATTACGGGAACATAGTTATTATCCTGGGCTATCTGCAGTACTGGGCTACTTGTTCCTACACTAAATGGCTCCCAGACGCTTTCTTTGTGGGATTCTGTAGTCTGATTTTGATCACCTTTCAATCTGTCTCATCGCCTATCAGCTGTTGTGGATGACAGTTCTCTTGAAGGTGGAGCCTTACTGGCCTTTTGACTCTAAGTCAGGCTTCTAAGAGCTGTGTGTAAAATAAGAACACAGTTCTGAGAGAGAACTTGAGCTCTCTCATAAGTGCAGGCACATAGAAATTTGTGTGACACGGATTTGGCAACCCAGAGAGTGTTTTGCTTCCTCATATGTTGTGAAATACAAAATTAGCTAATGAGCTCTCCTTCTCCCTCCTGTGAACTCCCCTCCTTGATGCTTCCAGTAGTTACCCAGTCTGCCTTCTTGTGAGTCATCATTTTCAACCATTCCTCATAATCCCTGCCTCCTTGGATGATTTTATAGACTCTGAAAGTAGGAAGACATTTCAGAGGAGGCCTAGTCCGTCCGCCATCCTTGCCAGGCTCCCTCCCACCTTTTCTGGCCTGTGGTGAGGGCACAGGGCTGGGATCCTCAGATGCTCTGTGGCTGTTCAGAGCCTTGGGAAATCCTCTTTTTTCATCTTCTTTGTTCATTTTTTTTTTTTTTTTCCTGAGACAGTTTCACTCTTGTCAGCTAGGCGGGAGTGCAATGGCACGATCTCAGCTCACTGCAATCTCCGCCTCCTGGGTTCAAGCTGTGAGTACCTGGGACTACAGGTGCCTACCACCAACCCCGGCTAATTTTCATACTTTTAGTAGAGACGGGGTTTCACCATGTTGGCCAGGCTGGTCTTGAACACCTGACCTCAGGTGATCCGCCCGCCTTGGCCTCCCACAGTGCTGGGATTACAGGTGTGAGCCACCGTGCCCGGCCATTGTCATCTTGTTACAGGCTCAGAACCAATGGCACAGGCCAGGCCCTCCCTCATCCTTGAGAGAGGCCGAGGCCTTCCAACATTTGAAGACGTCCAAACACCCACTGGAACCTCATCCATTTTCCCCAGAACACAGTCTCCAGGGTGGGGCCCTTTGGATACTGGCCTGATTGTCTCTAGCCCTTTGGAAATGCAGCAGGCAGGTGTGAGCCTCACTCTGAAGAGGCAGAACAGCCAACCACACAGATGGTAGCATCTGAGGCCAGGTGGTCAGAGGGGGAGCAGAGCCCGGGGCACTGCAGAAAACTGGCCTGTGCCAATGGTCAGTCCGAGGGCCTCAGGGCAGAAGGGGAGGCAGCACACTAGACGAGGAACTGAGAAGCGGGAGGAGAATTATTAGCAGGATGGATGGAAGGTGGTTCGGCCATAAATCTGAACTTGGAGGATTCTTAACTTTGGAAGACCTGGATGCCTTCTGGTGCCCACCTCTCCCCTTCCAATGTCCTTCCTTAGCCTGGGCAATTTCCTCCTTTCTTACTAGCTGCTCACCTGGAAAGCCCTTTCCTCTTCTCCTTGGCCCCTTAGCTGTCAGGACCCGGGGAGAATTGGATGAAGAAAATGGAAAGCTGGGAGGTTCCCAGCAGCACCCCAAGAACTGCTGTAAGGAGAAGAGGCCCCAGTGGAGAGGACTGAGGATTTGGGGTCACGCTCTGGCCTTAACCCTGCAGCTCTATTTTACACATGGACACATGGATTTTTTTTCTTCTATTTATTTTTCTCTTTTTCTTTCTTTCTTTTTTTTGAGACAAGAGTCTTGCTCTGTTGCCCAGGCAGGACTACAGCGACGCAATCTCAGGTCACTGCAACCTCCGCCTCCCGGGTTCCAGCAATTCTTGTGCCTCAGCCTCCCGAGTAGCTGGGATTACACGCACGAGCCACCATGCCCAGCTAATTTTGTGTATTTTTGATAGAGGTGGGGTCTCACTATGTTGCCCAGGCTGGTCTTGAACTCCTGGCCTCAAGCAATCCTCCCACTTCAGCCTCCCAAGTGCTGGGATGACAGGCGTGAACCACCGCATCTGGCCTCTTTTCTTTCTTTCTTTTTAAAAATAATTAAGGAAACCATATTATAGAGTGAAGATAGGACACAGAAGCTTGGGTTGGAATCCTGACTCCACCCCTTACTACGTGACCTTGAGCAAGTCCCTCTGCCTCTCTAGGCCTCATTCCCCGTCTCTTTATAGGGACAGTCACAGCCCCCACAGGGTTACAGCAGAGTGGTTAGGGGCTCTGAGGCTTTGGCAACTGCGTGTAGCATGAGAACTTCAGGAGCTCAACCTCTCTGAGCTCAGCTTTCCCATGTGAAAATGGGAATAATCATAGCACCTGGTTCAAGACGTTTTTAGGGCCGGGCGCGGTGGCTCAAGCCTGTAATCCCAGCACTTTGGGAGGCCGAGACGGGCAGATCACAAGGTCAGGAGATCGAGACCATCCTGGCTAACACGGTGAAACCCCGTCTCTACTAAAAAATACAAAAATGTAGCCGGGCGTGGTGGCGGGCACCTGTAGTCCCAGCTACTCGGGAGGCTGAGGCAGGAGAATGGCGTGAACCCGGGAGGCGGAGCTTGCACTGAGCCGAGATCCGGCCACTGCACTCCGGCCCAGGGCGGAGAGCCGCCTTCCAAAAAAAAAAAAAAAAAAGAGTTTTTTAGGAGAGCCCACTCAGCTGGTCTATGGAATTTGTTTAGCACAAGCCAGGGGCAACAGAAACCTCCTAAAGAGGCAGCTATTATTATGTATTCTTTCTTTCTTTCTTTTTTTTTTTTTTGAGACGGAGTTTCGCTCTTGCTGCCTAAGCTGGAGTGCAATGGTGTGATCTTGGCTCACTGCAACCTCCGCCTCCTGGGTTCAAGCGATTCTCCTGCCTCAGCCTCCCGACTAGCTGAGATTACAGGCATGTGCCACCATGCCCTGTATTTTTGTATTTTTTAGTAGAGATGGGATTTCTCCATGTTGACCAGGCTGGTCTCGAACTCCTGACCTCAGGTGATCTGCCCACCTTGGCCTCCCAAAGTGCTGAGATTACAGGCATGCGCCGCCACGCCCAGCTAATTTTGTATTTTTAGTAGAGACGGGGTTTCTCCATGTTGACCAGGCTGGTCTCGAACTCCTGACCTCAGGTGATCTGCCCACCTTGGCCTCCCAAAGTGTTGGGATTACAGGCTTGCGCCACCGTGCCTGGCTTATTTATTCTTTGAGGAGACAAATATACCACTGTTTAAAAAGTTGATGGCTAGACATGATGAAGACATTCTGGGCCCATGGCCTCTCCATGAGATGGTTTGGTGAATGTGCATTCAGACTGAAAGGGGCCGTGCGAGGACAGTAATATCTACCAGCCCACAGTCAGGGCAGACTCAGGTGTCGCAGGGCCTGAAGCTTATGCAATTAGGGGACTTTTTTTTTTTTTTCTCTTTTGAAACAAGGTCTTGTTCTGTCACCCAGGTTGGAGTACAGTGGCACGATCATGGTTCACTGTAGCCTCAACCTCATAGGCTCAAGCAGTCCTCCCACCTCAGCCTCCTGAATAGCTGGGACTCTAGGCGAGTGCCACCACACCCAGCTAATTTTTGTATTTTTTGTAGGGAGAGGATTTCATCATGTTGCCCAGGCTGCTCAAGTGATCTGCCCACTTCAGCCCCCTAAAGTGCTGGAATTACAGGTGTGAGCCACCATGCCTGGCCAGAGGGCCATTTTAAAAACATATGACAAGTTCCAGGCCCCTCCCAGGACCCTGCAAGGGGCCCATTCAAATGGGAGGCCCAGCTGGGCGAGGTGGCTCACACCTATAATCCCAACATTTTGAGAGCCTGACGCAGGAGGATTGCTTTTGCCCAGGAGTTCGAGACCAGCTTGGGCAACATAGTAAGGCACCTGTCTCTACAAAAAAAAAAAAAAATTGTTTTTAATTACCCAGGTTTGGCAGCAGGTACCTGTAGTTCCAGCTACTCAGGAGGCTGAGGCAGGAGGATCGCTTGAGCCTGAGAGGTGTAGGCTGCAGTGAGCTATGATCATGCCACTGCACTCCATTCTGGGTGACAGAGGAGGACCCTGTCTCAAAACAAAACAAACCCCCAGAAAACAAATAAGAGGCCCTAAAGCCAAAGCTCCATCAGCCTGGTTGGAAATCCAGCTTTTCTGTGATTAAGTGACTCGCTGGTAACTGAGCCAGGAGTTGGTCCCAGACCCGCGACTCCTTACCTGTTCTTAAAATCTCCACGAGGACCAGACCATCCGAATGTGTACCCACCTCTCCTCTCTCCTTCCCCCGACAGCTACCCTGCCTCTCCAGCTACATCAAGTTCAGAGTCTTGGACTGGTGAGCAACCTGGTGGAGGGTGAAGCACACAGGGAAGGAGGAAATGAGAGCTGGGCCAGGGGCTCAGCCTGAGGAGTGTTTCTCTCCAGCCACAGGAAGGACTGCTCGGATGAGATTGGGACTGCCAGCCTGTCCCTCAACCAGATCTCGTCCACCGGAGAAGAGATCGAAGGCAAGCAAAGTCTCGTGCCCACTTCCCACTCCCCTCGTCCTGCGCCCGACCCTTCTCACTCTCTCTCCTTCCAGGAGTGTACTCTGGCTTCCTGCCCTGCTTTGGCCCCAGCTTCCTGACTCTGCACGGAGGTAAAAAGGCCCCTTTCAGGATCCAGGAAGAAGGCGCTGTAAGTTTGTCACATCAGCTCTAGGGGACAGCGGAGGTAGAGCTGCCCCCAGTAAAGCACTAGGGCCTGGGACGTGCCCTGGTTTCTGTCCCTCGGGGTCTTGGGGAGGACGTGAAGCCTGTCCATGACCAGCCACGTGCATGTGGGACAGGCGTGGAGGCACCACTGGGGGCACCAGAAAGAAGCAGGCGGAAGCTCTGGGCTTTCCCTGAGGAAGGGGCTTTGAGAGGAGACCACGGTAAGATTTTCAGCAGGCGGGAAGGGCGCGCAGGACAGAGGACACAGCACAGGCAAGTGTGAGGAAGCACGAGGTTATTCAGGAATGGTGGTAAATGCCAGAAACCCAACTCAGACTGTCTTAAACCCAGGGAAAAACAAGACTCCTGTCTGCCCGGATCTACTGTGGATCCCAGTTTCTGACAGTGCAAAGAGGCCCTGGGAAGGAACGAGGCAGGGAAGGATGCTGAGGAAGAACCACAGGCACTGGCCCTCAAGGCCACTGGGAGGCCCTCCCGCTCCTTTCCCCACCCCACCCTGCCTCATTCCCTCCTCCCGCAGTCAGGCCTCCGGGCTGGGAACCTCACCACACCGCCTCCAGCAGGGAAGGCCAGAGAGACGTTCTAATTGGCCTCCTTAGGGCCTGTGTGCTCCCCTTGGATACCTGTGGCCAAGGAGGCGGGGCAGGCTCTGATTGGCCAGGCCGGGAGCGCAGACTCAGTGATCGCAGTTCCCACCCAGCCTGAAGCATTGTGGGAACACAGTTCCCACCCAGCCTGGAGCATTGTGGGAAGTGGGGTTCTGGCCTGGGCATTGTGTGGAAATGGGCCTCCATGGGGCAGGCAGGTTCCCAGGTGCGAAGGGCTCAGTGCCCAGAGGTTTCCTGGAGCATTGTGGGAACACAGTTCCCACCCAGCCTGGAGCATTGTGGGAAATGGGCCTCCATGGGGCAGGCAGGTTCCCAGGGTGCAGAAGAGGGCTCAGTGCCCAGAGGTTTCCTGGTGTGGAGGTGTCTGGAATTCTCTGGGATTGTGGTTGGAGTAAGCCCCGGGCAGGCAGTGACTGGACAACCTTGTCTTTGCCTCAAGGGTTTCAAAGGAGATTGGCCTGTTCTTTTTCTCTCACCCTTTTTCTCCGTTTTTCTCTCACCCCTGTTCTCCGTTTTTCTCTCGCTTGCCCTAGCATATTCCCGACTCTGTTAGGGATGGTTTAGCTTATCGAGGCCGAGTCTTCCTGGAGTTAATAACCCAAATCAAGTCCTGTCAAGACTCCACGATAAAAGATCTCTCTCATGAAGTGACCAGGATAGAGGTAACTGCGGGAAACAGATAACCCAGGGAAAAACACGAGCCCTGTCTGCCCCACATCTACTGTGGATCCCAGTTTCTGACCGTGCAAAGAGGCCCTGGCCTCTGGCTGTTGAGTGTGTAAGGATGCTTGACCAATCAGCCTGATTATTTACTAAACCCCTGCTAGTGGCTTCATGCTGCAGCAAATCCCGGTGGTTGGGGGACCCTGATGGAAAAGATAAGGTTTCAGTTTAAGAAATGCCTAATCTGGGCCAGTGGCTCACACTTGTAATCCCAGCACTTTGGGAGACCGAGGAGGGAGGATCACTTGAGCCCAGGAGTTTGAGACCAGCCTGGGCAACATGGTGAAACCCCGTCTTTACTAAAAACACAACAACAACAAAAAATTAGCTGGGCATGGTAGTGCACGCCTGTAGTCCCAGCTACTAGGGAGGCTGAGGCAGGAAGATTGCTTGAACCCAGGAGGTGGAGGTGACAGTGAGCCATGATCATGCCACTGCACTCCAGCCTGGGTGACAGAGCGAGACTCCATCTCCAAAAAAAAAAAAGCATCCCCGATATGGTTAAGGAGAAATGGTGTTAATTCATGACCTAGTTTCTCAGGGCTTTGTAAAACAATCTAAGGGATTTGAGTTTCTTCCTGAAGCCAGTGGAGGGCTACTTACTGAGGCAGGAAGGGGCAGGAGGAGCAGTAACAATAGACTGGAGGAGAGTAAGTTGGGGTCACCCAGTCAAGAGAAGCAGGAATACAGCCTCGTTGGCAGAAAGCTGGAGAGCAGGTGGGTAGGTTTCAGAGACCCTTTGGAAACAGAATGTCCAGAGCCAGTGACGAACAGAACGTAATAAGTGAGGCTGACTCCCCTTGCTGAGGCCCATTTTCTGCCATGGGTGATGAGGTGGTCAGGGGTGCAATGCACCAAGGTGGGCTCTCTAAAGAAGGAGAAGGTATAAGGGAAATGGTGAACCCCATCTCTGACATGTAGTGTGAGACATCAACATAGACCAGCTCTGGAGCCTGCTAGACACAGGGATGTGACATCAACACACCAAGGTTTGAACCTGTGGTCGTGGAAAAAATTGCCTGAAGAGAGTAGGTGGAATGAAAGGAGAAGGAAGTTTCGAGGATGCCGCAGTCTTTAGAGGCAGGTGAAAGAAGAGAAGGGGTTTGTAGAAGAGGTTGGAGAGGAACCTGCAGAGGTGGACGCAGGAGTGGAGATTTGCAGAAAGGAGTGACAAGCAATCTCGAATGTGGCAGAGAGAAAGGGCAAGGACTGAGAGACATATGCTGGTTATTAGGAAGAGGTCAGTAGCCTTGGAGATTGGCTAGGAGAGAAGCTGGGCTGCCATAGGTGGGAGGGAGAGGTAGGAGCCAGTGCACAGAGACAAACCTTCTAAGAAACCTGATTAAAAGCCAAGTGTGGGAGTCTGAGATAGGAGGATCACTTGAGCCCCAGGAGTTTGAGACCAGCCTGGGCAACATAGTGAAACCACATCTCTAAAAAATAAAAGTTTGGCCGGGCGCAGTGGTTCAAGCCTATAATCCCAGCACTTTGGGAGGCCGAGATGGGCGGATCACGAGGTCAGGAGATCGAGACCATCCTGGCTAACACGGTGAAACCCTGTCTCTACTAAAAAAATACAAAAAAAAAAAAAAAGCTAGCCAGGCATGGTGGTGGGCGCCTGTAGTCCCAGCTACTGGGGAGGCTGAGGCAGGAGAATGGCATAAACCCAGGAGGCAGAGGTTGCAGTGAGCTGAGATCCGACCACTGCACTCCAGCCTGGGCAACAGAGTGAGACTCCGTCTCAAAAAAACTAAAATAAAATAAAAGCTTTTTTTTTTTTTTTTTTTGAGACAGAGTTTGGTTCTTGTTGCCCAGGCTAGAGTGCAGTGGCATGATCTCAGCTCACCACAACCTCTGCCTCCACCTCCTGGGTTCAAGCGATTCTCCTGTCTCAGCCTCCTGAGTAGCTGGGATTACAGGCGTGCGCCACCATGCCCAGCTAATTTTGTATTTTTAGTAGAGACGGGGTTTCACCATGTTGGCCAGGATGGTCTCAATCTCCTGACCTCGTGATCCGCCCGCCTCAGCCTCCCAAAGTGCTGGGATTACAGGTGTAAGCCACTGCGCCTGGCCTCAAAGTAAATTTTTTTTAACGTGAAAGGAAATGAGAACGGGTGATAGCTAAATGGGGTTCAGATGGGAGAAGGAAAGTTATTTTTTTTAATAGGGGAGACCTGAGCTAGTGAACAGACTGGGGGGATGCAAGAATGGGGCACAGGTTGGAACAGAAGCAAGAGGGACTCATATGATGGACAGGAGGCCCAAGCAAGTACCTGGTGAGAACAGCTGAAGTTGGGGGGATAGTGGGCAGCTGGAGGAGGAAGTGGGAAGGTTCAACCTTTCTGGTAGTATGCATGTATGTGTGTGGGGGGGGGGTTGTGTAAAATCTCAGCTCTACACCCCTATCCACATTGTATCTTCTGAGGGAAAAGGTTTAGTCAAAAAGGAAGAAGCATCTCTACTTGGAACGGGGAAGAGGTGGCCCAACCCAGAGCCTACCCTGACAAGGGAGGAGACCACCCCCTTCCCAGCCCCCTGATTTCAGGAAGGGAGGGAGCCAGGGCTGGCTGGGTGGAGGGGCCAGGTGATGGAAGTCCTGGAGGAACTGCCCTGGATCAGCCGGGTGCGAGGGAGCCCCTGAAGGCCTTTGAGAGGGAGAGAAGGGAAGATGGCTTTGAAAGAAAGAGAGTACCTCATCCTTGCCTCCCTGCCCATCAATCTAACCCTTGGCTTATGTACTGGGGATGGGGGGTGGGACGGTTATTGTTTTAGAAGCACCAGAACCGCCAAAAGTATGGGCTGTGCGTCATCTTCCTCTCCTGCACCATGATGCCCAACTTTGAAGACCTGATCCATTTCGAGGTCAGCATCGGTCACTATGGGAACAAGATGGACCTGAATTACAAGCCTCTAGTCTCAAGCACACAGTACAGCCCAGTGATATATGATGGTAATTGTCAGATTCTGGCAAAGAGTAGAGAGCAGCCACTGCATGCCAGACCCTGTGCTGGGCTCTCTCAGGGGTATTAGCTCATGGAAGATTCATAAGTATTATTTACCTATATTTCACACATGAAAAAATGAGGTTCAGGGGGGTGAAGTCATTTGCCTAACTGTATAGCTAGCAGGTGGTGAACCCAAGAGTCGAAACTAGGTCTTGACATGAAGTCCTTCTCTACACCGCTTTCCACACTACAGCTTCTCCAACCTCATCATCTTTTCCCCCACTACTTTGAACCACCTCCCATCCATCCATCCTCCACCCACCAGTTCATGCATCCATCTATTTTTTTATCCATCCATTCAACCACTCAACTCTCACCTACCCACTTACCCCAACATCCAACCAACTACCCCTCCAGCCGTTCATTCACTCCTCCAGTACATACTTATTGCACACCTATAGTGGGCACTACAGAGCAGCGGTTCTCAGAGCGCAAACCCTAGGCCAGCAGCATCAACATCACCTGGGATCTTGTTAGAAATGCAGGTTCTCCACCCCACGCTAGACCTAGAGAATCCAGTAACCTGGGGAAGGGCCCCAGTCTGTGTTTTATCAAGCCCTCCAGGTGACTGGCGTGCATGCTCCAGTTTGAGAACCACTGCTGCAGAGCACTCCTGTCTCACTTTCATCATCTTCAGCTTTACCGTCTCATCACCCATTCTGAGCCTTTCTGGGCATCCCACTTCCCTACCTCTCTTTTTAAAAAAGTTTTATTGAGATATAATTCACAAGCCATACAATTCGCCCATTTAAGTTTGTACAATAGTTTTTTAGTACATTCACAGAGTCGTACAACCATCACCACCATCAATTTTAGAACATTTCCTTATCCAGAAAAGGAACCCTATGCCCGTTGGCAGTCACCCCCCCATTTATCTCCCACCTCCCTAGTCCTAGGCAACCACTCATCTACGTTGTTTTTCTTTTCTTTTCTTTTCTTTTTTTTTTTTTTTTGAGACGGAGTCTCTCTCCGTTGTCCAGGCTGGAGTGCAGTGGCGCAATCTTGGCTCACCGCAACCTCCGCCTCCCCGCAACCTCCGCCTCCCAGGCATGTGCCACCACGCCTGGCTAATCTTTTGTATTTTTAGTAGAGATGGGATCTCACTGTGTTAGCCAGGATGGTCTCGATCTCCTGACTTCAAGTATCCACCCGCCTCAGCCTCCCAAAGTGCTGGGATTACAGGCATGAGCCACCACGCCCAGCCATCTACTTTCTGTGATTGTAGATGTTCCTATCCCAGACATGTCATATATGGAACATTTAATATGTGGTTTTTTGTGAATGGCTTCTTTCACTTAGTGTGATCTACTTGATTTTTGTATTATGAAATAGATATACAAAAAGCATATGAAATGTGTATGTGTAGTTTAAAGAATAATAATAAAATGAGGGAGGCTGAGGTGGGAGGATCACCTGAACCTGGGAGGCAGAGGTTGCAGTGAGCAGAGATCGTACCACTGCACTCCAGCCTGGGTGACAGAGTGAGACCCTGTTTAACCAAAAAATAAAAAATAATGATAATAAAATGAGTACCCATGAACTCTCCACCCAGCTTAAAATATAGAAAACTATCGGCATCTTAGAAAGGGTCCGTTTGCTCTTCCCAGATCCCTTCACCCAAGAAGTAGCCATGACCCTGACTCCACCTTCTCGCTTTTCTTTTTAATTCTTCACCTATGAATGAAATCCTAAACATGATACGTTTTTTATATTTTACATAAATGGACGGGGCGTGGTAGTGCTCTTTCGGTCTGTATTCATCTGTCTTGTGTCTTCTGCTCAACGTTAAACTTCGCATGTGGGTGTGTGTACCGCAGTTCATTTTCACTTCTGCATAAATTCCACTGTGTATGTGGTATATTCCACAAAGTATGTGGTATATGTAGGCATTTAGGTTGTATCTTTTTTGCTATTATAATAATTTTGTTGTAAACGTTCTTGTGCATGTCTCCTGGTGACAAGTGCAAGACTTTCTCTAAATTATATACCTAGGAGTGGAGCAAAAGTGATTATACTAAATTACACTCTCCTCAGCTTGGTATGAGAATTCCTATTACTCTACGTTCTCGCCAGTACTTGATATATTGCCTAACCTTTTTAAAAAAATTAATTAATTTTTTTTTTTCAGATGGAGTCTTGTTCTGTCGCCCAGGCGGGAGTGCAATGGTGCAATCTCAGCTCACTGCAACCTCCACCTCCCAGGTTCAAGTGATTCTCCTGCCTCAGCCTCCCAAGTAGCTGGGACTATAGGCGCCCACCACCATGCCTGGCTAATTTTTGTATTTTTGGTAGAGATGGGGTTTTGCCATGTTGGCCAGGCTGACCTTGAACTCCTGACCTAAAGTGATCTGTCCGTCTTGGCCTCCCAAAGTGCTAGGATTACACTAGCGTGAGACACTGTGCCCAGCCTATTTTTAAAATTGTTTATGGAGACAAGGTCTCACCATGTGGCCCAGGCTAGCACCACCACACCCAGCTAATTTTTCACAGAGATGGAATTTCACCACGTTGCCCAGGCTGGTCTGAAACTCCCGAGCTCAAGTAATCCACCCGCCTGGGCCTCCCAAAGTGCTGGTATTACAGGTGTGAGCCACTGTGCCAAACCCTGTTGATTATCTTTAATTTTGTAGTTAGTACATTATGTGGTCTAAGAAATATCTATCTCAAGATCATGAAAATTGTCTCCTCTGTTTCATTCTACAAGCTTTATCGTTTTATCTTTTTTGTTTGGGTTTATGATTCAATTTGACTTAATTTTTGCGTATGGTATGAGGGAGGAATTGAGATTATTTTTCTCTATACAGATATACACGTTCTTTTTCTCTACACAGATAACCAGTTCAGCACCATTTGCCTGAAAGACTATTCAGTCCCACATTGAATTACTTTGCCACCTGGGTTGAAAATCAGTTAACCATATTGATCTATCTGCCTATCCTTATCCACCACAACTTCCGTCTCCTGGGTTCAAGCGATTCTCCTGCCTCAGCCTCCCAAGTAGCTGGGATTACAGGCATGCGCCACCACGCCTGACTAATTTTGCATTTTTAGTAGAGATAGGGTTTCTCCATGTTGGTCAGGCTGGTCTCAAACTCCCAAACTAAGGTGATCCGCCCACCTCAGCCTCCCAAAGTGCTGAGATTACAGGCGTGAGCCACTGCACCCGGCCTAGTTGTTCCTTTACAAAATAATTTTGGCTATTGTACAAGTCTTTGGGTTGGACTTTGGTTAAAAATGAGTTCCTTCCCATTTTCTTATTTTAGCATAAGCTCGACAATTTCTCCAAAAAAGACCACTGGAATTTCCTGTGTTCTTTTGTTTTCATCAGGTATTTTTTGTTTGGTTTTTAGTATTATATTCTATCTATTGACAATATGTATCTTTGGATTATTTTTAGTGGTTTCTTAGGGAATTACAATATTGACCCTTGACTCATCATAGTCTACTTTGAGTTAGTAATATGCCACCTCCCAGAAATAATTGTTTTATTATATGTAATATACCATGCAATTAATTACAGTATAATTGCATTGACAGCTTACATTACCTTTGTTATACCTTTTTTAAAATATTTTTGGGACGGAGTCTCACTCTGTCACCCAGGTTGGAGTGCAGTGGTCTGCCTCCTGGATTCCCGGGTTCAAGTGATTCTCCTGCCTCAGCCTCCTGAGTAGCTGGGATTACAGGAGTGCGCCACCATGCCTGGCTAATTTTTGTATTTTTAGTAGAGATGGGGTTTTGCCGTGTTGGCCAGGCTGGTCTCGAACTCCTGACCTCAGGTAATCCACTCCCCTCAGCTTCCTAAACTGCTGGGATTACAGGCGTGAGCCACCATGCCCGTCCTATCTTTGTTATGCATTCTGGAATTAAGTTGCTAATATTTTGTTGAGGATTTTGCATCTATGTGTATGAGTAAAATCTGATTTTGTTAGTAATTTATTTAGTGATGTAATTTACAAACCACAGAATTCTCTTGTTTTGTAGCCACTTTCCTGTTCCCACCCCCAGGTCAACACAACTACTAATGTACTTTTGTCTCTGCATATTTACTTTTCCTGGATATTTCATATAAATGAAATTATACAATATGTCATCTTTTGCATCTGGCTTCCTTCACTTGGCTTAATGTTTTCCAGGTTTATCCATGACGTAGCATGTATCAGTACTCCATTCCCTTTTCATTGCCAAATAGTATTCCATCGTATGGGTGTACCGTCCATCATTTGTTAATCCATTCATCAGTTGATGGACATTGCTCCCCCTTCTTAGCTATTAAGAATAAAGCTGGCTGAGCCTGGTGGCTCACTCCTGTAATCCCAGCACTTTGGGAGGCCGAGGCGGGTGGATCACCTGAGGTCGGGAGTTCGAGACCAGTCTGAGCAACTTGGTGAAACCCTGTCTCTACTGAAAATACAAAATTAGCCGGAAGTGGTGGCGCATGCCTCTAATCCCAGCTACTCAGGAGGCTGAGGCAGGAGAATCGCTTGAACCCAGAAGGCGGAGGTTATGGTGAGCTGAGATTGCACCATTGCACTCCAGCCTGGGCAACAAGAGCGAAACTCTGTCTCAAAAAAAAAAAAAAAAAAAGAATAAAGCTGCTGTGAACATTCGTATACAAGTCTTTATTTATTTATTTTTTGGACCGAGTCTCGCTCTGTCGCCCAGGCTGGAGTGCAGTGGGGCAATCCCGGCTCACTGCAACCTCCACCCCCAGGGTTCAAGTAATTCTCTTGCCTCAGTCCCACCAAGTAGTTGGGACTACAGGCATGTGCCACCACGCCTGACTAATTTTTGTGTTTTTCGTAGAGACAGGGTTTCACCATGTTGCCTGGGCCGGTGTCAAAACTCCTGGGTTCAAGCAGTCCACCCACCTCGGCCTCCCGAAGTGCTGGGATTACAGGCGTGAGCCACCGCGCCCGGCCACATCTTTTCATGCTCAATGCTC